CATATTGTTTCGCAAAATGGTTCAAAGTAAACGATCATCCCAATGGAGTCAACTTGACCAAAGAATCTTCCTCACTAAGGTTCATAGTGATCCTCCTTCATTGGTCAAGTTGACCCCATTGGGATGATCGTTTACTTTGAACCATTTTGCGAAACAATATGAACTGATTATATAGCAGGAGTTAAGGGGGAGAGGGATTGTGTGGGTTTACCCGCACAATGCCATCAGGCTTCACCAATGCCATCATGCTATCAGGTACCAGAAAACTTTGAAACATTTACGGGCGAGCACATTCGAGACAGATGTCCAAAGGTAAACTGTGTCACATTCCGACACATTGTAGTTCAGATTACTAAATGTTGTCCAAACATGTCCAATTGGTCAAAAAGCTGTCCAAAGGTCGCTACAGATGTAATTGGACAACTTCATGATGAAAAAAATATATTCGACAACTTCATGTCCAAACTACTCACTTAGGGTAGTTTTTCGACAAACTGTCCAAAAGTTAGTCTTAGGGATTCGTTTTGACAACCCTCGCTGTCCAAAGGGCTTTCGACAACTTTATGTCCTAAGTTGATGTGTCCAAAGGTCACGCAATCGTAAACTCCCATTTGATCTGGGGCGAGCGCGACTCTAAAGTTTTCGAACATCAGCGGGATTCGCCAGAGAAGTATTGGATTGTCCTTCCATGGGTTTCAGTATAACGTCGATCCCCCCACTGGTCCCAGTGCCTGATCGTGGCGTGGGGGTCACTGGCCAAGGTTGGTCAGATCGAAACTGGGGCCGGCTTGCCATCACTCATACATCCACTCTACGAGTGTGATCACCGAGGATGGCTCGATGACGGCGTTAGTCCCCGCTTAGCTATATTAAGTGTTATCGATCTTTCTAGTGTCAATTAAATATAAGTCATGTAGCAGTTTTATCGTGGTATATCGTGGACACGACATACTCTAACGGTCCTCTCCTACAACGTTGGTGGTCTACAGTCTAGCCGTTCGGAGTTATTACGGTATCTTAAATAAGCGAAGGTAGATGTGGGATGTCCTCAAGAAACACATCATTCGGAGACGAGTCCTCTAAACTTCCCAGGCTATTCGGTGGCACATAGACCAGGGGCAAGACTAGCAGCACGGGGGAGACTGAGTGATGGTCTAGTATGCCTGATCCGCAATGGCATTACATTATGTTATTTACATATCGTACCACACACCAGTATGCCCATGTCGACACTCAGAACGCATATATGGCGTTGGGGGTTACCTTACTAAACCTACCGTATTCGAATTTGGTTACTATTTGTAACATCTATTTCCGACCGGCAATGGACTTAACAACCGTCGATCTCCCGCAGATCGGATCTCCGCAAGTTCTAGAGGTGGGAGACCTCGACGCACACCATCCCTGCGAACTCAGATCATTCACCATTGAAGATTCGCTGGTCTCTTACTACGCAGCCATTATTCATCCCGAGACCACCTCGGAGAGTATCTACGTGGAATTATGCCAAAGCCTTATGGGAAGAATATCGGACAAAACTGGATACATGCAAGCCCTATTGGAATCGCACATTGGAGTCTCCATGACTTGGGAAAAACCGATGGGTCATTTACACACGAGTACGAGCAGGTCTACCCTGAGACATATTACGACGCCATCTTTGGAAGACCTCAAGCGAGTACTCCAGAGAGTTGAGATCAGCACAGCGACAGTAATGGGATACTTCTGTCTATACACGACCTCTACTTCTCCAAGTCTGGTCACTTCTCCCTCTTCGGGTGCGATACGCAGAAGGTTCACTCACGCTCCAATGGATGAAGGCCCACGTGGGTTTTGGACCCCATGATGCGGTAGATGAACGCGCTCGAGCCCAAGTACTCATGCCACCAGTCTTCCCTCGAGAAAAGTGGAGTAGCACTCTCGCTCACCTCCGTCTCCAACAACGCCACCGCCTGCACGAGGAATGCTCACCTTTGCCATGATGGCCGTCACCAGGGTCAGAGAGTCACCTGCCGTTCATCTACGCTACTCTTGGACTAATGATGCCCTACACACCTTCACCCGCAACGGCCAGAGTCTGTTGTGCCGCCTACGGCTTGGTGTGCTCCCATTCGCCCGATCCTCTACGTCCTCAGCATGTCATAGTGCTCCGCACTCAATACAACACCTACTACTCTCATGCCCGGCCTTTTTGCAACTTCATCCTCGTCATTCCCCGGTTATTATCCCCCCACGGATATCAAGCATTACGTACTGCTCTACACTGACAAGGAGTCTATGCAGCAGGCATTTAGCATCGCTAAACTTTCTCGTTGCCTCATTTAGCTGTCTCAAGCTCTACTCTACTGTTTACATCATACCATTGACCTGACTTCATCATTCATTCATTGCTTTTCTCGCTCATCTATTGTTTTCTTGGGGAGCTGTCGTTGAGCCTCTCGTGACCACTGGAGTCGGCGATTGTATGTTTAAGGGCGATAGGCCACTAGGCCCGTAATGCCCGGCACCAGTTACACACACACACACACACACACGTCGATCGCTTCAAGGTGCAATAAGGGCGATGGGATGTTTTTGGTCTACACATTAGTATAGTGTATTATCCAGATAAGCCATGACAAAAGTCAGACCGCCTAAGGCTCAGAATCCATCCCGGATGTGTGTCAGTGGGAGACCCTGGAAGCAACTCCCCGGGAGAATGTAATATCGGAACTGAGGGCAGCGTTTTTGTCTATATTGTACCGTGTTGAATCAACAATGTTGATCAGCCACGTGGGGTTCTGAATTTCAGTGGGTTTACCTGGTTGTATCGATCCCTGCAAATCCAGGGTGAAGTTCCAAAATGTTCTAGCACGACGATCATTCTTTCGCAGTGGCTTAATAAAAACGCCTTGATCGCCATGACTCTTCATAGGCAAGCTCATCAGTATTCTTCTTCATTGCGCTCATGCAATTATTGATTCGATGTATGACATCTTGCTAGGACTATCAAAGTTAAGGCAAGCAAAAGGGACTATCGTCCTCCTGCTAAGCCCGGCATGAGCAAGTTCGATGCCCGGAAAATTCGCGAGCGCGACCTATCCTTGGCTAAAGGACGCGAAGCAGAACTAAGAGCCATCGCTAAAGAGAAGAGGGCTATCGCCAACAAGAAACGTGTGGAGAAGGCGGAAAGGAAGAAGGAGAACGAGATCAGGAGCGGCCAGTACCAGGTATCTATTTTGGGGTTTCTACATTAAGCCAGATAACCAGGCTGCGCCAATGAGTTACGTTTCAGGTGATAAAGAATACGAGCAAGCTCCGCAGATATGACAAGAAGGCCATGTCCAAAGTGATGAAGATGAGCCCGGAGATGATTGAGGAAATTAGTCGGAAGGGGCGTCGCTCCACCCGGACAAGTGTTACTCCTTCGTTCAAGTAGTCACTTGAGTGGGTGAGCTGGTCACTAACTCCACACGTTTCTCTTCGTTTACCGCTACTGTTTCTTATCTGGCAAAGTAACAGTGTTATGGTTTTCGATGTGAGAAGTGATGCGGTTACGGGTGCATGTAAGTGTGGCTCTCCTCAATCACATGGTCGCTCCTACTTCTACATTTCTAAAGACCTTCTGGAGAGTGCACCAGAGCTCTTTGAATTCGTTGAAAGTAAGATGAGTTCCTCCGCTGTATCCTATTTAGTATACTCTATCATATCACAGGCTCTGAGCGATGAGGCTTCGTTCGACGAAAAAGAGGCACATCGGAAGCAGTCAGCGAAAATTCTCAAAGAAATGTTTGCACCAAACTTTACACGGTAAGGTTTTTGAATAGAGCCAATGTAGGGACTAATCCTTTCAGCGCTGTGCTGGAACTTGTGACATCTGACGAAGCTCGTGAACAGCTCGCTGCAACCTTAAAAAAGAAGGCTATCTGTTTCACGGATGAGTTCGAGACTGCGGCGGTGGAGTGCATGGCTGCGATGGTTCGAGGGTAATAGGACGGTACTTTTTATGAATTGAGCTGTAATTTGGGAAAATGAGTTGCTTCGTCGTCCGCTTCGAAGTTGAATAACTCGATTCATTTCTCTCATCACTCTTCCTTCGTTCGGTCCCTCCGGAGTCTACTGGTTAATGTCAGGCAAGCTCTGGATCCCTCTCGATTCCATAGCCACCCCGATATAGACCCCGACACCAGGCGGGCGGCATCGACGATGATAGAGCTAGGGTTTGCTAAGATCATCGGTGGTAATACAATGGGTAAATCTCGGGAGGCATTTCGGCGCCAATGTACAGGTGGCTTCGAGCAAGGCAGATTATGGTTATGCAGTCCTGCCATGGGGAGGGTTGGGCAGTTGCTCTTGGGAGCTCGTCCGACTGGCGATAATGCTAAAACAGTGACGCTTTCAACTGGAGGAAGACGCGACTCCGAGCTGAGGGCCGGCGTTTTGCGTTTCCTGGATCTCCTTGTCAAGGATGGTAATCGGGATATCCTAGGCCACGATAACTATCGCACATCTGTATGTTCAGTATATTTAGATTGAGCTCGGCTATGTCTCACTCAGACATAGCCGAGCTCCAACCAGACATACAAACGGTGTGAGTACAGTCTCTGTTACTTTAGAAGTTGCTCGTGTTGTGCAGCCTTTACTACCATTTCCATCGAACCGTATCGCTCAGGCCACCTCTCCTCGGACTCCCATCGTAAAGAATTGGTCCATGGCTGTCCGATGGTCAATAGCGTCTTGGTTGAGCGAGTTAATGGGACGATTGATTCCCTGGAGGAATGGCTTAGGTGAGTCTATGGCTGTTTCTCTTACCGCCCAGCACGCGTCCAATGTTGAACGAGTTTAACGATCAAACTCTCAATTGTTGTTTCGCAGAGCTCCCCCGAATACTCGGAATCCAACCGACGTCAACATTTCTCTAACAGATGCTGCCAATAGTCCTATACTCAAGCTATATAAGGTAATATCAGCTGTGGCTTCGAAGGTGATATTGTCCTATTTCAGGATATTCCAGACGCTTCATTGAAAGAGGATTTCATGACTGTGCTGGCTCTTACGATTCGCGAGGCATCGAACGTAAGTTGCAGATATCACGCGGGGTGGGCTTGCACCAGATTGTTCGAAGTTCGTATTACTCATGTTTGCGTGCATGCTCACTACGAGGGTCGAGAAACCCGAGCTACCTGAGAATTGGCAGCTGTAGATACCCGCCTGTAAGGAGTACGCAGATGAGGCTGATCGAGAGTTCTTTGTGTTGCATACCACTGGGAAGAGTGTTCTCTCGCGTTGGCTTGACAAACAGATTCAGAAGTAAGTCGATGTGACAGCATTCCTGCCGCATGTCGAATTCTCCCTGGATGCTTGCTGCACTCTTCGGTAGCCTGATTCGTGATTCCACGGCAGGCATAATTCACGAGCATTGGAAGATTACAAGAAGTATCTCGCGTTGGGTCCTACGGAAGCAGATGCCGCTATTCAGGCTTTCACCTCAGTAATAACTTTACAGTGATTCCTCGTATAGAAGGGGCGCTGCGTGGTTTGCGTCGACGGTTGTGTATTTAGTTCGAGATATTATGTTCGTTTAGATACTACCTCTTGGAAGCAGCCAATTCACTCTACCATTTGGTGCTGATATCGATCGGGCCATCACCAATTTTCACTTTGCTAATATAAACTCTTCCAAGGCGGCTCGTCTCCCACGGTGAGTTGGCGAAGAAGGCATGGAATCATGGGAAAAGTATATTGATAGGGACGTCCTTTCTGCGGATACGGTTGGATCGATTCTCCGGCTCCTTGGCGTTGGAATCTTCGAGGTGGATGTCCGGAATACCATGGCCAAATGCATTAGTCAACCACACAGCAGAGTGAGCACCTCCCAAGGATCACAGAGCAACCACTCAGGCTTCGAAATAGGTTGCGAACGTCAAGAAAATACAGATGGCGGATCCGGCGGTTTCACCTGGGGACGACGAAATTGTCATCATGAATATGGGTATGATAATTCTATGCTAGAATTCCTGTTTTGCATGTCATTGAGCATTTTCAGGAGCTGCAGTAGGGCCCAGTCCCGATACAGCTTCGACACTAGCCGCTGGCGTTGCAGCACGAGTTCAAGCGACCTTGACTGGTGCAACAGTGTCAAAAACGACGGTGAGTTGACGAATCCCGACGGTATCCGTCTAAGTACGGTCTTTTTTACATCAGGCCCAACCAGGTGATAATGCTTCATCGCTGAACAAGAACGATAGTTTGATGGCGCCGGGGCCGTCAGTTGTCGAAGACACTACTGGCGAGGCTGAAGATTTGGGTTAGTATTCCACAGTCGGCCTACGTCGTTAACTGTTGCTTACACTCAGTTGACCTGCTCCTCAAGGAGATTTTAGCACGGGTACCTGCGTCGGCTAGGAAATTCCGACCACGCCCAAAGAAAATCAGCAAAGGCGTTTACAAGTATTGGCTACTTTAGTAGTGCAATTAGTTTCACATCTTGACGATTAGGTTCGGCCTTCGAGATGTTTCGTTTCTAACACGGGATGGCTCCTTGTATGTATCACACATAGACGGTATAGCAGCCAAACCACAGGTGCCGAAAGCTGCCCTACTTTGACGTCTTTTGATCTATTAGTGTTTTTAGTACGGTGAGACTGAAGTATCTGCTACCACCTTCGTGGCCTCTGAGTATGGTGTGAAGGCACCTTCGGACTTGGACAACTTGACGAACCTTCTTCGGCCTTCCAGCTTTGGCCTTCAACGCCAACAGGTAGATTGTATATGAGGTTCATGGTTCAATACTATGATTCTATAGTTACTTCCTGGGCCCTCCAGCTCTATGTTGCCAGCCGGGGCTCCCTCATCGTCATCATCAAATACAGTTGGGGGAGGCAGTTCTGAGCATCTGGTTCGACGGACCATCGATTGGAAATCCTTCGGGTTCCTGCATCGACTCATCAAACTTGGGATGGATGCTAACGATACACAGTGGCAAGCTCTGTGGGATCGGTTTTCAACCAACGAGGGGTTAGGATCAGCTGCGAATCCCCGGAAGCAAAAGCTTGAAACACTTCAGAAGTTCGTGGAGCAGAGCCTGGTGTATGCCGTGCGCAAGGACTGGGCGAAGGAGCTGTTGTATAAGAAGCCTGGTGATCCAGATCCCGTGATCGATTCTATGAACGATGAGAGCGAGATTGAGCCCACACCTTCACAGGGACCCGCTGTCGCTTTAAGAAGGAAGGATCGACACAAGAAGCACCGACGTCACCGCCACCGCTCACGCTCTCCATCTCATTCTCGGCGTAGGAGTAAATCGTTGAGTATTGCTAGTATTTCCCGCTCGGAGGGTCGTCTATCCATGAGCGGCGGGTCATCGCCCCGGCCCTTCCCTGGTTTCATACCTCCGACTGCTCCAGTTCCTCCCGGACATGGTGCCTTCTACAAGACTCGATTGTGTCCGCTCTTTCAATCTGGGTCTTGTCCTCGTGGGCAGGCTTGTAGCTACGCCCATGGTCCCCAGGAACTCCGCCCCGATGTAGCGGCCGGAGGTAGGCTTAGTGGAGGCTTGATGGGTGGTCTTCACACAGGCACTGTTATGCCAACTGCACGGGTGGGTGATAGTGTCACACTTAGCACTACTGGAGGTGGTGGGAGTATAATGGATGGAGGTGCCTCATCCATGCTGCCCATGGGAAGTGCTCCGCCCAATAATCCCTACTATAAGACGCGGATGTGTCAGGCGTTTCAGCAAGGGCTATGTCAGAAGGGTGCCTACTGCAACTATGCCCATGGTGCTGATGAGATGGCATATTATGGAGGCGGTGTATCTGGGGTGCTTGCTGGCGCGGGTGGAGATCTGCCTAGAGGTGCTGTCAGTGCAAATGATATAAGACTGGCCGAGAAGCGGCGGTTTGAAAAAAAACGTCACCATCATAGTAGGTCTCGGTCCTCTTCTTCAGACGCTTCATCGCGGAGCGATTACAGTAGCGACAGTAATAGCAGTAGTTCAGGGGACGAAACTAATCGTCGTATCCGAGAACTGCAACAGCGGCTTGGACTTGGCCATAATGGAGTTAATAAGCTACCGGGCAGCAATGGTCCAATGGGACCACCGGTTGCAGCGGGGATGGGCATGATGGGCCAGCAAGTTTCTATTCAAGCTCCCGCTCCAAGGAGGTATAGAACTGAATTATGCAAGCACTTTATGGAGGGTAAATGTGGCTATGGGGAGCATTGCTCTTACGCTCATTCCATGGAAGAAATACGTCAACACGTAGCTGGTAACCTCCCTGCATCTAGCCCAATCCAGACCTCGATTCAACAATCAAACTTCACGACGGGGCAACCACTCCCTCAGCCTCAGTTCAATACAGCATCATCAGTGTCTCTCCTGGAGAGTGCACGAAGTGATCAATCAACTAAGCGGAGCCAGTTGGGACACGGTCACCACCACCACCAGAAGGATAAGAAGCTTCGTACAAGTTCTGGTGCACCTGCTGCGGTGAAGATCTGTCTCGATGATCTCTAAGGTCCTTACGAGTCGACTCTAATGTAGCAGCCTGGCAACGGTATTCAGTTCCTAAATATCATTATCGTGGCATCTTAGGTGATATGCTACCGAAAAGTATTTCTTGTGTCTTCCAAGACCTCATCAGTCGTTAAGGTTATATCATTGATCCACGTCTTTTGGTGACAGTTACGTTCTGATGGATAGAGCTGATTGTACAATGTCTTTTCTCTGATTGTCCCTGTCTCTGTGTTCTCAGTTGGTGATTAAAAGTATGGGACAGCGCTCCTGGAGAAACATCGGTTACACTACAAGTTGCTAACGATACGGAACGACCAGTCGGTAGTAAGCAGTTGCTGGCCGAAACTGAGTCACTTCCGATTATCGCACATTTCCCTTCCAATCCGGAATCTGATTCGTAAGGTCTCGATGCCAATCTTCGTCCTGTCGATAGGCTTGGATTTTCGACAAAATTTTATGATTCCAGTTCGAACTCTAATCGGACTCCTAATTCGACCGATGTTACTTGTTCGGCCACTCGGCCGCCAAACAAACTTCCCATGCGCTTCGCGCTCGACTGCCGATTAAAAGGACGGTAAAACTCGATATTCGTCACAACATCAACCTCAAATTCCACATTCATGGTAGGTGTTCACGTATGGACGGTGAGCAAGGAGTCGAGGTGGCGCTGAATGTCAGTGAGCTGAGAGGTCGTATCCTGGAGCAACTGCAGCGGGACCCACAATATATCACCCGGTCAGATACTTTGCATACCTTCTGCTGGTTGTTTGCAACCGTATCGAGTCCTTGAAGAGTTTGTTCCAGGCCGATGCCTAAATGCAAGTGGCTATTTCGCGGGAGGATTGCATGCGGAAGAATTCCCACAAGATGCATTTGTCAACAACTCACCACTGCCATCCTTCTCCTCTAAGAGGGAAGCTGGAATATCGAGGGATTCCTGTGAAATCGCCGGGACACTTTCAGTATTGGAAAGATCGCGTATTCCATGTTCAATCTTGGCCAGAATAGCGTTCATTTCAGGATCAGCAACCGGATCGAAGGAAGCCTAACTTTTGTTTGTCAAGTGTACCCTGAACACGGCCTAGCGACACCATCTTACCCTTTTCGCAGTCTCCGTAGCATGAGACAATATTAGAAGCAATGCAGTCAGTGTGAATTTGGCAAACATTGTAGGGAAAGTTGTAAATAATAGCTGGACGCATATTCTCATTTCGACCACGCGTCGAAGCCTAAGAATGCACAGCGGCGAGCGATATCGGAATGGAAATAACCGGGCGAGCGCCGAACTCTGGCGCTCTGCTATCTGGTCCAGATGAGCGGAACTCGGGGTCATGGTACGGGCCGCTATCCCCGTACAGATTACGGTACGGTTGTGCGGTTGTAACTGCTACCATGGCACTAGAAATTGGCTGTTGCCTCAACTCAATGTCACTTCATCATTGAGACACCCTATGTGCCAATCGTAGTTCAATTCCTCCCGATGTCCAGTAACAATGCCCAGTTGTGCAGTGCTTTGAGTACTTTCCATAGGAAGGCCCACGACGATTCACACCTGGGTCTGGTAGTTCGGTGCTGTTAGATTTTTGGGGATGGCGTCTTTTATATCATCGTTGCAGGTGTGAGTCATAGCTGTAACCTCTCTAAACCATATCCCTTCCCGTGCAAGTTTGACAAGACTTGAGCTGGCAAGAATGACAGTGTTACAAGCAAGTTCCACTGTGAGAACTCAAGTATGTCACAGTTCCATTATATGACACAGACCAATCTCGCTGTAGCTTATCCTTAGCATCGTGCATGATACGACCGCCATACTAGTGAAAAATTCCATCTAGGAATAATCGATGCTAATAATCTTCCCGCTAAGTTGCCTCCAGGCCATTGGAATGCATGTTGCTTCAATGATTTTTTGTACTTTTCTACCAATAAATATCCTGTTGTGTGTTAGTATCGCTGGAGTGAGTGATGAGAGACAGACAATCAGCTTTTGGTGTCGTAACGTTTAGCTATGTGGCGTCAAGCTGCTAAGGTGTCTTATAACCAGTAAGCAACGATGATGGTGTAATCTCGGCTTCACTATCTCACTTGCGAGATATACGAATGAGATGGCAGTACTGCTACGTAAATGCCTCAAAGAACCATTCAGAAGTCAGGCTATGAAGAGCACCGGAGTAATCCTATGGTGTCATCTTGGCCTCCGTTACATCGTTCCCTGCTCGGTCGTTCACTGTATTTCATTCTTGCTAGGTTCAATTCCGAGAGAAATGGTTTGCGAATGGAACCGAGGTGTCGCGGAATGAAATTAAAGACTTCGACGGAGCTTTCAAGTAGTATCCGTTATCAAGAGTGTCTTTAAGATCTCTCCCAGGTTTGCGAATCCTAGTTCACTCGCCAAGTGAGGCCAGACTCGTGGTAGTATTATCGACTAGAGAACAAGGATTACGAGATTCTTGGAAAACCACGCTCCCCAGTTAGTTTCTGCAGTTCGGTATCTTGTTGTGCTGTACAATATATGGCCGATCACTTGACCTGATTCAGGCTGCTGATATGAGGTTATCATATTACTAGCCTCTGTCATCTTTGTCCAACCTCTGATAGTTTCTGAATTGTGATGCAATGGCTTCTTCGGAAGCTAAAGGTCAACAGCAACCGTGGTAGGACTGCTATCCTCGGAGTCTTTTGGAGTGCTGGTGCATGGGGTGGCATATATTATGCTTATCATAAGTACCAAGGTAGTACACAACCGTTGAAGTGCCCAAACGGCGAGCGATATTGTAACTCCGCTGCAGTGCTTATCTTGCGCAGATAGCAAAACAAAAGTTGCTTTCCTTGCTCCTAAGTTCGGCGTGCCACCTGAGGAGCATCGTCTGGCTGCGTTTCGGTAGTGCAGCTGTGTAGCTTCATCCCCTTGAGAGTTTGTTGACTTAGATGGGTTCAGCATCAAGGTATCGATCGTGGTGAAATGGGCACCACTGAGACCAGAGCCGACATCGAAGATGTGCGGAGTAGGTCGTTCAACCAGCTGTCGAGAACTCCAATCTTCGATTCATCATTAGGGAAAATATTGCGGTTCGCTAGAGGTCATGTTCTAGAGTGTGGGATAGGGACTGGTCGGCACAACTTGAGGCAGTACATTATTAATCCTCGACTGAAGAGCCTCACGGGTATCGATCTGGTGAGAGTGTATGGGTTTGGTAAGTATGAAACCATATCGTACATGTAGGTCGACGAGGCTCTTGAGAAAGCTGTGGAGCATCTTGATGCAGCGACTTCTGGTGTAGTAGATATGGAGAACAATGTCCTCGATGTTAAACCGAAGCATGTATCACTGGTAATTCGTGGTGGAGTATCCCGTCAAGATTATTCGGTACACGACCGGGGCCCACCGAGTACTCTGGTTGGTAGATACATGGTGACTTCCACAAGCTCCCGTTCCCTGATAATACCTTTGATACAGTCGTGAGTAGCTTCGCACTATGTTCGGCGGAAGACCCCAAGCGTGCATTATTAGAAATGGCGCGAGTATTAACGATATCCTTCGATATCATTTAGATGGTTCGCGAGTTAGGTTTCCCGGAATCGAGTGCTCCTACTGGAGCATGGTCTTTCTTGCTGGCGGATCATGCGTTGGCTGGGTTACCTTACAGGAGCGTATCCTGACCCGGAACATCCTTGGACTCACGGTACTAATGCCGGATACACTCGCCGCAACGTTATACCATCCCTCTTGGGCTTTCAGGGTGTTATCAAGATAGAGATATCCTCAAGCTGTGCCGTGACTGTGATCTTACGATTATTCGAAGGACAAGCTATCAGTACGGTCATGTTTATGAGATTCTTGCTAAGCATAGCAAGAAGGTGATATTCTATTCATCCTCATTTGTATCTAGTTCTCTGCAGCATGATGGTCTGTGATGAGGGGCTGTGATTCTGAACAGCTTGTGAATGCGGTCGATCTCTCTATTAACTTCTCCGGTTGTGATCCGTCCAGTTGATGGCGCGCACTAACGCCAGCATGCCGCGGAACGCTTCGATAAGCAATGAAGTGTCTGTTGTTAGGCACGCGAACGGGCAATTAGTGAGCATTCCGAAACTGTTGCCGGTCGACGCTTTGATGAGCGAGGCTTGGCGGAAGCCACTCTGTTTTACTCCAACTCGGCGCATGGGGGCTCGTTGCAGGAGTGGACGGATTGGATTCGGAGGAATAGATGGAAGGAAGAATGATTGCATGCTACCAGCGTATCTTCAACTGTTTCCAAGTGTGTAATGTTTCCTCTGATGTATCCACTTGAGTTGCAAAGTCTTTCCAACTTGGATTGGAAGTTCCAAGCTGTGTGCTCTGATTCAGAGCACGATTTTGAGCAGAGAACCGTTCAGTCTGACGGTTATCTCGTTCGCGTTGTCGGTAAAACGCTCGCCCATAAGAGGTATTGTTTGGTTGAAACTATGTCGCCTTCTTCTCCGAATGGATCAGCCTTGTTTTAAGTATTCGCAAATGACTGACAAGGTGCGTGTCTCTCATATTTTATGTAAGCATACCGGTTCGAGGAATCCTGTTTCGAGGCGTACATGTCATGAGATAAGTATTTCCCACGACGAAGCATTGAAGGAAATTAAAGGTCGGTCTGGATACATGACGGTGTAGTTTCTTGACTGAATTGTTCCATCGGTCTTCAGATATGATTGAGAAGCTCAAGGCAGATAAAAGGATTTTCTCTGAGATGGCTAAAGCAAGGAGCGATTGCGGTTCGTACAAGAACGGTGGAGATCTCGGATTTTTCGATAGGTAGTCCACGCCGACAACTCAGAATTGCTGCCAATTATGACTTGCTTACTTCAGGGGTGAAATGCAGCGGCCCTTCGAGGATGTTGCGTTCAGTCTGAAGATTGGCGAGCTGAGTGGGCCTGTGGAAACAGATTCTGGGGTGAGTTTTATATAAGTTGCGCATATATAGCTGGCAAATGAAAAGAGGGAGGGACTGGGTTTTCACAAGATGTTAATGTGGCGCTTTCAAAATGGGAAAATTGTTTCCTCTCCGTAGGTTCACGTGCTCCTCCGCACCGGTTAGTAGTTCCAATGTCCGTGGATTTCGCGTGAGTTTTTTGCTGTAGTTTGTGGTAGCTAACTTTTTCATCGTGGAAGCGCGCGTAGTGTTTTGAACGTAGGGTTATCGAGATACACAGCGAACTGGTAACATAAAGTGGAGTGCTACGAGTGACGTGCTGAACATCATGAGCAGAAAAAGTCCATTTTCACTCATACATACTAATGAAAATCCAGTTATGGTGATATAATACCATTGGTATTCACCTTGTCTCCTAGCTGCTGTGCATCACCTTACAACGAAGGATCCATTCAACATCAAAAATATCACTTCATTGCCACCAATGAAAATCCTTCACCGTGTATCATTGTCCAGTTGCCCCGACCATTGACTCAACTTTCTTTACTTTCATTCGACTCAATGGCATTGAGTCGAATGAAAGTAAAGAAAGTGTCCCCCCGTCGCGTCAAATCTATTGAGCACACCGTTACCAGCTTCAGCAGCACTAAGCGTAACCATACGACTGATAACATCCGTACAACGCTATTGGCGGGTCTAAAGTTAGAAATAGAGGATACGGTGGAAATGTGCTGTCTGATAAATATCTCATCATGAGAGTATCGTAAGTACCCTCCCGTACAACTGACACGATTTGTTTCTCTCTGCACACCGGAAGAGCTATTGGCACGTGTGAGATGAATATTTGCGAGAAGACACCATTTTCAAACGCAACATGAAATCTTAGCATCAATCAGAAACGCATGCTTTCAACAAGGTCACTAGCAGTATTCTTCGCAATCATATCGAGAAGCGCTCGCTTTTGTTCGACGAATGGCAGGTGTGATATCAGACGGATATCGTCTTCTACCAAGGTAGAGACCACCCATCCATGAGTCACCAAATAACGGATCTTCCAACTCGTTGCGCCATCTGGAAAAGGACGCTCAGAGCCATCAACGAACTCGATATAGTGGAGGTTTCCATTGACCTCTACAGCTATTTTCTCGTCTGGCTTGGCGATATCAACGACAACGCCCGGAACCACTGCATATTCATGACACCATTCGCTTCCAAGTACGAGACAGACCTTGGTATGCAAAGCACTACTCGAAACAACTCTGGCCCCGGGATCTGTCGTAATGGCCTCCTGTAAAGTTAGGCTCGCCTGATAAAGTTGAGCTCGGTGTGCTCGTTCGTAAGGATTTATCCTTGTCGCAAGTTGGCGCGCGAATAGAATGTCCGTACATCCACAAATAGCAAATAGAGACCATAATGTTATTGCAGCCTCCTTTGACGAGAATTCCTCGACCTGATGTTGTCGAAGGATTGCATAGAGGACTGGTACCACTCGAGAAGCTCCACGAGCGTCGAACACAGCGATCGCCCATAACATGCGAACTGTGTTACTCACATCCCTCACTAGCTCGCTATACCATTCAGCCACCCACTGATATAGGAGACTCATCACATTGGCAGGAAAACGCGAAGAACATGCACAAGCCCAGAGGAAGAAAGACATCTCTCTCGGCGACGAGTTGATGTCTATAAGCTCCGCCAGGTTTCGGAGCTGTGTCGTTACCTTCAGTACCGACATCGTCGACGCTGCTTGTCCGAGGGCAAACGCATACGCTGCACGATCCTGATCATTGATCATATGCATTGATATACCGGAGAGTCTTTCCGGTGATACGGCCCAAGCGATAGTGGACGGGTTTCCACTGTGGACGAGCGCCCATATTGCCATGATAGCATCCCGTGAATTCGGTTCATTCCATTCGCGACGGACAATCGGTACCAGCACGTCGAGTTGAGGCCTCCACTCACCAGCAGACTTTACCACAGCCCATAGTATGTGCACTGCTTCTCTCAGTTTCAAGTCCTTCCGTCTACAACAAGAATCCACAACATGGGATGGAAGAGACAAGCCAGCCTTGGCCAATCCGGACAAACCCATAGCCATGTCTCGTGGAGCCAGACAATCCCAATCGATACGATCTTCGGAGAGCACTTTGGTAAGTAACATCAGGTTTTGTGGAGAAAATTCGAGTCTCCCTATTGCCCAGAGCAGCATCCCCACGTCTTTTGATGACAGAGCCCCCGCATTCGACAAAGCCTTGGCCGTTGCAGCATGGTACAAGACCAACAACGCATGAGGCAGTCCTTCATCCGCTTTATTATCGTAGCAGGCTGCACAAGATGCAATGCTCCATACAAGACTACATATATCCTGACTCTCGACTGCTTCCGAGGCGAGAGGAATGAGCTTACCAATAACCGCGTGGTTTGGTGACACCCCAAGCTTCAGCAAAAGGAACATAGCTTGCGCCGCCAATGATGCATTGAGGGGATTCTGGTGGGTGCCGCTAGTGATCAAGGCTTGCATCAGCTCATTGAGATCCTCAGCTGCGAAACTTGGTTCTTTGTTACCGTTCACACACTTGTCGACTTGTCGCAGCGTCATTATACAGTAGATAGGCGTGTGGGCTTTCTTCCAACCCGGGACATTGAAAGGCCGTAATAGGCCTCCGACAGTCTTCCCGACTCCACGCACGGAACGATTCAACATTTACTGTCGTTAACTAAAAGAGAACGGTACGTCCTCCAGACCGTGCATCATCATAGTCACTTATGAACACAACAAAGCTTACAGAAGCCCAGCCCAGAGAGATTTTACAGTTGTGACTATAAAAATGCTGCTCGAAAAAGAAGTACACGAGCTGGCGCATAGACTGTAGAACGAAGGCTCAAGAATATAAACGTTCCCCGATCCGAGCCAGATGGACATGACATCAGAGAAAAAAATACGTTGATGCATTGAGAAAATGATCTGCGACATACAGAGAGGCTTGAGGGGTGGCTCTCATCCTCAAACCGATCAAGTTCTCAAGTAACTCCGCGCTACGCCTGCGAGGATATTGGATATACATAGAAGCGGACCACATATGACGAGACTGCATGAATGTGACACCATGTGGATGACGCTTCGCATTTGAAGGATGAGAGTTGGGAGTAGTAGAATACAGCTAATAAGAAACGCTCTCTGGCCCATGCTCAAAGGGACTGAGCGTACTGAGCTCAGAGACTCCTCTTAAGGTTTCTCGGGTACACCAGATTAATCTCGGCACAGACCATCAGACGTTCTTTCTGAGTGTGTATCCGGCTCATCCATCAGACATAACAGCTGATAAGGATTTACATCTGTGATGCAATCGGTATGCGTGAGGATTCCGGATAATAACACAGTCGCGATCGCATTACCGTTGTCTTCAGTTGACTCAAGCGGATTCTCCACTTTCCGAAGGTTCCTCTGCGCTTCGATATCTCTTGCTTCGTTGATGAGGATAGTACAGGCAGTAACTATCGTGTGCAAGTGGGGGTGAACCTGCACGCAAAGGTCTCAGCCTGAACGGTAGTCGGCACGGCATGGGTGACATGACAAACATAAGTCGATCTAACCTGTTGCGCATTCTTATCAGGATGTAGACTAAGCATCCAACGTCGTAGCCGTCGTTTAAGGTCATCTTCATCGAGGGACTCTTCGGGACTAAGCCCGAGTGTTTCACGAGCCTACCAAGAGATTGGTGTACTGCCTCTCAGGAATTGAAGCTCACAGCCTCAATCATTTTCTCGTGAACAACCTTGCCTTCAAAAACTTCTTCGTCCTCCGACCGAGGGACCAACTTATTGGCTGAGAGAGAGACAACAAGAGTCCCAGCCCAGGACTCCCAGCAGCCCGGGAGCCGCGAATCACGGACCCAGTGTTCGGGCCCCGAGGTGTCGTTTCTGACTACTGCCCCTCCCAGACTCGAAGGACATAGCTTTTACCTGCCTTGTCGGACCATCCGAACGTTGCATCGCAAATATTAAATGCTACACCACCAATGATGGCAACGATCAAACCAGCTCCTGGGACGATTGTGAGGGCACAAAGCCCTGCGTTGGCGGCACCTCGCATGGACTGAAAGGACTCGCTCAAACTCGGCGCTCGATAGGATGCGACAGAGCATGAGCTCTGGTGATGCACCAGCTCACCACTCACCGCTGCTGTGACCTTCCGTCGAGTGGTGCGCACATGAAGTTTCCCCTGCTTGCACTTCCGGACGTGATAGCCAACTTCACATGCAGTGATTGCAGCCGACACCATTACACCCTGCAACGACACGATTGATACTCCGATGTTTAAGAATTCGGCACGCTGAGACGTCAACTGCCCTGCAGTAGTACCAGCCCCGTTCCCATCCCTCTCATGACTGTGGCCGCGCCCACATTGTTGGCTGCGTCGAACATGGCACCTTGAGAGTAGTCATGAGCTTGTCAGCAAGGCTCGCCATGCAGCAAAGATATCCTCACCCGCTCTAGAGAAACCAATCATGCCACCCATGACAGCCGCTCCCACCGTGCCGCCCATAAGCGTACCTCTCGCAGCACCGACGCCCGCCTGAAGCGGCAATAAGCTAAAGTCTAGCGTCATCTCTGATCACCATTACTACCTCTTTCGCAACCTTCACCCAATCTATTGAGAGCTTGCCGACATATGCTATTACCAAACCCGATGCCTCTTCGGACATAGGTGGTTCAGGCACACTCATTAGGAATGCACGCAGAGCCATCTGACGTTCCAACTGTTGCCTAGAATCAGCCACAAATGCCGAGTTTTATTAGTAAAAAGCGAGTAATTACTTCCTGTAAGAATCCACTCCCTTAGTAACTCCACCGGTGACAGCTGACGTGGCGGCACCGAAGACGTTGCTAGAAACAAGTGACGACTTCGATGTCTTGACGGTCTGAGCGTAGCACAGATGCGACGACTCTGCTGTAGAAGAGATTCACCAAGGGAATTCAAGTAATTTGTTCCATTCCCCAGCTTACCCTGTGCTTCTTAAGATGAGTCGAAGTAGCCTTATCCCTAGGCGAGGTTAATGTAGTCCCTTCCCCGTCAGTATCCGGCTTGGATAGTGTCATGGACTCAGGATCAGGCGGCACCAGATGCCCAGTTCCAACTATACTGGTTTCATGATTGGGCACATGTAAGGGGTCTTCAGGTGTTTCGATGACAGACAGCATCACCTTCTTACCATTACTGGGGGTGGAGGCTGAAAATTGGAGAAGCCATCCCAAACGAGAGAGCCGAGTAGATGTGATGGTGCTGGCCTTCGTGAGAAACAATCGACGGGGGGCACGTTGCAGATCCGAAGCAAATCGCGAACGAGCCCCGACTAGGCACCAATTACCCCATTGAAATCCTTCGAATCTACCGTTCCCCTATCTACCTGGCGATGGTTCCTCACATGCCAAAGTTGGGGTCATCGTAGAATAATCAGTATCCCCAGTAGATGTCTGTGGCCGTGCAGATACCCATTGCCACTCATCATCAGATCCATCACTTGCTTGATTCCTTGGAGTGGTTGTCGTGGAATCATTATCCCTCGTATCGTGTGATGCCATGTCTGGCGATGTGGCATTCATGCGGATCTTATTCTCCTGAGAGTTGGTTGTATGCCCAACCTTCCATGATTCCGTGCGTTGAGTTTATGTCACCTCAATGGCTGGTACTAGCTTTTCTACAGCATCTACATTGACCACGTAAAGCAATCTCTCGCCGTGGACCTTGTCATCGCGGTATGCAAGCCGGAGTGTTCTCAGGCCTGAAAGGGAGAAGACCAGTGAAGTGTGTTAATGACTCCACCCTCTCACCATGGTGATTTTCTTCAATGACGAGGTCCTTTGTCATACTAGCCAGCTCCCACTCTTGCTTCGCAGTTTGCTTGCTCGAGCGTCTACTTTCCAGCCCAAGTGTGCGCCGATTAAGTGAATGATGAGACCTCATACTAGAGGATTTAGAGCTTGGCGGCATTTTCGGTATTTCCGAAATGTTGCCGGCACCACCGGCTGCCACTAGGGTCACCTAAGAAAGAGTGATGACCCAACCAGCGGATGTTTTGCACTGAATAAATAGTTCCTACCCTTGTAGCCTTCGCAGGGAACTTCAGAGTCCTGGAAGTCTTGAATCCGACACTTCCTATCAAATACCGGTCCACCTTGATCGTAGACGCCTCGCTCCGCCCGTCTGTAGATGCCTCCGGAGGGGTTCCAGTACGGTCTTCCGGAATGCCTACAGAAGTCTTCGATATGCCTAGACTCGAATGTGTTCACTTGCGACCCACCGATTATGCTATTTTGCTTATTCGCCTTGATGCTACGTCTCTGCGTCTTCGATTTGGTTACTTGCATGATATTCGAGTTCACCCATTGCGGCCAAGTCTTGTCATCCACTTCGCTAGGCTTCACGGCATAAATCTGTACGTCTCTGCTTGAGAGATTATACACATGCCGCGTGTGGGTTTGACCCATCCAAAAGTTAAACAAACGTGAAAACTAATTTCTGCATGTCACCTAAGCGACTACTTCTCAGCATCTCTCGATGATCAGCGAACACTGAACGTAGAACCCCCACGTGATTGCGAAACAATTTCTTTCTGTATTGAGGCCACACTACGAGTTGGTGACGAGGTGGTCACTGCTGAGGTGCAAGCAGCACGCTGCAGTTGATCACCTTGTCCACTAGGAGGAGGAGGTTCGCCTGGGTGCCCTCCAGTGCCTGGAGTCCAGTCGACACCTCTCTTGGGCGACCTCCGCATCCTACCTCCGGGTCAAGGGGGGGAAGAAAGCACGACCTGATGATCCCCCACAGGATTTATATCAATTCACTCATCTTAGTTTCATGTGATCAGTCTAGCGTCTATTGAAGCACTTAGGTTTCTACTGCGTGCTTCATTGTGCACGTTGTGTTCCTCTGTCGTCCAGGATTTCAGGTAACCGCAACGCAACGCAACGCAACTTGCGTTGCGTTGCCTCCTCCATTTGCTCCAGGGCGAGCGAGGTCACGGGCTCCATGTTCGAACCCCGGTCGTCGCATTTTTCAGTATTTTTACGATACGCGCAGAACTCGTACGTGAAGTGGTTATCACACACAGCCATGGAGGTAGCAGTTAAAGTGGGCCGTAGGCCCGCGATTCTCCCTAAAAAATAAACGTTTATCCGATTGTTACCGTTCAGGCCACACACTGCTACCGTTTAAGCCACCGGCCTTCATTCATGCCTCCTTGGATGAATGTGGATGACCTCCCTGATATACTTGGAGACAAGGCCACATGCGAATCATGCCATTTGAGTTTCCGTGAGTCTTCATTCTCCTTGCAACTGCTGAACACTTCCCCTCCCCGACCCTTCAGGCCTCACATCAAATGTTTATATTGTCTGCGCCGAGTGCCCTGAAGAGGCTGGCAGAGTATGCCTCTGTGTTAGGTGTTTTGCCAATGGAGTGGAGTTTGGCAACCACTTGCGAACACACAAGTATGGTTGCCTTCTGTTGATGTCTAGTCTCCCTAACCATCTGGGTGAGGTACTATGTCGTCCCTCGGATCGGGCACGATAGCAGAGGGAATCAAAACACTGTAATTCCTGCTACAACAGGACTAGGCAGTAGTAGTAGCAGCAGTAGTCCAGTGACCATACGGCAACGTGATCTCCAAGAGACCTTTCCTCCGAAAAGTCCTAAATATCCTGGTATTCAGCTCAGATAGCCCCTGAGAGATGATGCGTTACAATGGTCAGGTGGTATTCCTCCTGTGGGTGGGGGCACAGTACCCCACCTTAGACTCAAGCTAAACAAGCGTGAGATTGTTGGACTCATGGGTGTCACAGGAGGCTCTGCGAAACTTGGAAAGTGAGCATCAAAAAGCCGACGATATCATCCTATCCATCCTTCCTTCTTCACAGACATCCGCTGCATCTGGAGCGGATAATACACCAATGTGCCCAGATTGGCGGTGCTAATTTGAAGCATATCTCTGAGGGACAAGTAGAGAAATGCGTGAACAATATCTCTAATTAGTAATGAATAATATGGTTCACGGATATGGTGACGAATTGTCGTTATTATCATTTGTACGATAGTTTCAACGCGACGATGCAGCACAAGTTCCCCTCCTCCCCCAGCCCTACTCCTAGAGATAGCGATGTGGAGATCGTCACCACTGGTGATGATGAACATATGACTCGCACTCCTGGCGTGTATATGTGTGTTCAGGTGACCACTCGCCAGCTGCTAGTGACACCAACAGTTTGCCCGCTCCCACGAGTCCAGAGGCAAAGGCCACATCTCCTTCACCTGAACCAGGTACCGGCTCGTAACAAGTTCTGAGGGTTCTAGCGTACCTCGGTGAGGTCAGATCCGGTAACGAATCAAGCAACTCTAACTGTGGTTCCGCACCTACCTGGTGGACGTGGTAAAATCAAAGATATCCCCGATATCAACGAATTCCTCAAGTAGAGAGATCTGATGGGACCGCTACCATTATCCCTGTCCGTGATCAGATACAGTGTTTATAGGGACGAGTTCGAGAACGACTGGAATCCGGACGCTGAGAGCCTGGTAGCCGAGCTGATGAGCGACAATCAGACCGATAAGCTACCCGATATGAATGACGCGGAGACAGCGAGGAACGGCAGGATCATGATGGCATACCATCAGCTGGTACAGGGGGCTCATCTCTCGAGAGCTATCTGTTCATAGCATCGTAGTACTTATAGTTGAGCAGTTAGTATAGTATCGTAGTTGATAGCATCGCGTATGCTCTAGGTAGCTAACTTTCCAGGTTACCGAGCGCGAAAGAAGGAAAAATTTACTCGTTCATCCCCGTGACCGCCCAAGCTTCCTTTATAATGTTGGAGCTAACTTCAACGAGTATCAGGCCTCGTGCAAAAGACGTAAGACCGATGAAAAGGTAACGGCCATAACTTTGACAACGATGAATAAGATAGGACTCTGTAGTTGATTTTCGAGCGTCTCAAGATCTTCGCGCCTGCCATAGATGAGACCGCGGACGAAGTCCTGAGTCGGTTGGCAAGTGGTATCTGTCATGAGGTGAAGTTGAGGGAGGTAGGTATTTATATATGCTATTCAGCTTGATTCGAAGGTCTGTGTAGGAAATGGATAGCCGTATAGACCGACGAGTTCGTGGTTGTGGGGACCAGAAGGAATATCAGAGATATCTCCAGGTCGAAAAAGCTCGCCGAGACGCCATGAGGTACTACTATTATGTGGGGAGTTGCTCCGTGGGCATCTGTACGATTTCAGGAGGTCTGGGGCGAGCTCCGCTTACGTATACACAGACAATGCTTCTCTCTCGAGGTCGCAGATGACACCTTTAGATGGAGGAAGCCTGTCGGCGACCTGGTAGTGCAGTATCCTGCTTTATCATTGGTTAGCTGCTATTGTCGATTTCAGGACGGCAAGCTCTCTCCCTCATTATGACCAACTACCGACCGCTGATAGATCCAAGTGTGAGAGTTTAGGTATAGCTCCCATGCATTTTGAGGCAGTCCAAGCATTACTCACGGACATTGTTCAGCGGATGCCGGAAGGGTAGCCAACAAATTGGCGTCGATACCAATATCTTTGGCTCTCACAGGAGCCCTAGACTCAAGCCTGATGATGTCATGGATTTGATCGATGATCGCATTATTGGTGCTATATCGAGACAGCATCAGAACACGTGGCATCGAACCGATGTAAGTTTCGCTTCGGAAAGAACAATATGATGAAGTGTGAATGTTGTCAGCCAGACCACTTGAAGCGTATGAGGAAGAAAAAACAAGATTTAATAGTGCATATACTACACCGCTTGTATTCTCCTCGACCACCGTGAACTTTTTTCCACATTGAATGAACTGTTCTGGTTAGCCGGGTTGGGTGATCAGTGGTAATACTGTATTGACTAACCGTTTTCTAGAAAGGCCTGATACATGTCAAGTAAACGCGCAGGAGTCAAAAAGATTATGCAGAATGAGAGAATGCAAGCGCTTCTCATGTTACCTATGTTCTTCTGTAGCTGACACTGTTGAACTCGAGACATTGTGTATGATGGAAACTTATCAACGTTCTGTCCAGTCTTATAGATGACTACTTCCACCCGATTGTTCTGACAAACGCATTTTCTTGAACAGCTTGGCAGCTTCCAATAGTTTAATCTTCGGTTTCTTGGCAACATCCCCAGCCACCTCGTCATCCGGAAACTCCCATACAGTTATCATTACCTACGAATATGTACATATGGGCTACTATAACAGAGAGAAGTGGTTAACGGCTGCACCTACTGTATCATCTGCACCAGACTCTCCACCACCGTGGCTTGGGTCAACACGTCCCTTGTGCTTGACAGCCTTGGGTTGCCGACTCTCAATGTTAGCAATATCGCTATAAGGAAGGGGAATCGAAAATATACGATTTTGTTTTCTTTCGATGATAACTCACTCATTTTTAACTTCCTTCGCTAACTTCAACATATACTCAAGTAGCAACCTGCGGGACTCAGGATCCTCGTCTCTCTTGGCCTCCGCGATACCGCGTTCGAGAACCTTCCCGAACATCCACCATCGATCAAATGTGAGCTGACGAAGTTGGCTCACCTCTTTCGCCTTCAGGAACGACTGGTCCCCATGTTTCAATTCGAAATCCGCATACGACCGCCAAACCTTGACGTGGGTAGTCCGATCAAGTAATCGCTCGAATAGGTCGCTGGAGTAGTCAATACATTCAATTCCTCAACAGCTCGCGTTACATACCGGGCATTCTCCATTTCTCCTTGTTCTATCTCTAAATCGATACATTTCTTCCAAATGAGCTCCGGCTCGTTCATGACCTCCTCACTCTCGTCAGATGCCGATTCGTCCGCGAGCTACGGCAGGAACGATCCTCGTTCATTGAGGCATATGATATGAAATACCCTAATGGCCATCTCCCCAAGCTTCCGAGCTCTGTTGACCTCGGAGAGCTTCATCTCCATATCCATCCAGCAAACCCAAGAGGCTGCTTCGAGCGAGTGAGCGGATACGTAACTATCAAACATGGAAAGTTCCCCTCTGGCTTGCGTGATGTGAACTTATAACGCTCAGGAGCAGAGCGGGTCTCTACCTAGCGCAGATCCTGCGTGCTCGATCCACCTGACCAAGGTTGAATTCAAATTGTATGTAAGAGCGGAACACTGAAGCTTTCTTGGATTCGCCGATTGCGCGACCGTACCTGTGAACGCAGCAGTCGTAGAGATCACACTCAGGGAGGAACATGGACAATCTACTAAACCAGAGCAGCCTTACACAAGCCTAGCGCGGCCAACATCCATCTGACGAATCTCAAACTCCGCGTAAGCATTGTACAGTTTGCTGAAGTATATCTTCCGTGATCGGAAGAGTTCAAGAGCTGTATGATATCTACCATGATTTGAATCAGTTAATATAACATAAAATGACACAATGAGATCACTGTGTTCTCATTATTACACTTCTCGAACCCTATCGGGTGTCGATTCCCCAGATTGAATGAGAGACTCCTCATAGTTGGCATAAAAGAGCCATATATACCTACCATGGATGAGGGGTCTATACAAGTAAATAACACATGCTAGTAGTCGTACACATATCGCCTATAGAGATCTTTCCGTCCCTTAGAAGCTGCTTGTTGGGGCGGCAGGGCTGCGGCGATGGCTCGTTCGTACACTTCCCGGCATTGTGCCGCGGAGTCTCCGATGTTTTCTTCGAGGAGTATCTACCATGCGATGCGGATATTGAGCAGGCGGGAGGGCAACGGGGAATAACGATATCGTACATAGTTGATCCAAATATCGACGTCAACGCCATCAGCGTCAGACAGCTGTTTCTCATATTTCAACCTGCACTTCTCGAGAAGGAGTCTCTCAATATCTGTCCGCGTGCCTTTCTGCTTCATATACCTGAGTATATGTAATTTCCCAGCCGAATCAGGATTTATTCGTAGTACTTGGCGTATCTGTCACGCAAGTAAGCAGTCCTTTCCGGGGGCAGGGTATCTATCCCAAGCTTGTAGACCTTCGCTGCTGCCGAAGGATCATCTCTCGCAGCACGTTGCTCGAATTCTGCCCATTTCACGTATCTGCAGCGTGGAATCTCAAGGGCAAGGGCAACAAAGAAATGTCCCTACAGATCCTCGGTTATACCCTCCGGTCCCAAATCATCTTTCAAAGCGTCATGACACGTCTGATAACCGGCCCTCGCCCGAACCTGGAAATTACAAAGCTCACTATGCCCCCCGCAATGCTAGATGGCTACTACGTTATTCCCATGCCTCTCTTCAAACTTCGCCAGGCGTGTGAACGACATGACTGTTTGGATTTGTGATACATATCTGTCATATGATGTTCCACAGAGTAGAATCCCCCATAATAACCTTTCATAGATGGCTCTGGCCCGTTCAACTTCATGGCATCGGAGCTCGAACTTGATGTATTGGAGCCAGGCGTTATCGCTGGGCTGCCACTGCATCCACCTTTCGTAGACCTGGATGACGATCGAATGAGCCTTCTGCTTTACTCCCTGTGGGCTATACCTTTCTTGCCGCAGCATAGTCCATGAGAAGCTCCTCCATATAAGCGTACTTATACCAGAACTGATCATGGCGAGGAAGGAGGCTCGTGACTCGGTCGAACCTATTGAGTTCCAGAGTATCATTCGAGAGGGTAGCGCAGCTTACAAGTTCCTCGCATGAGCTACGAACTTATGTTTCATTTCCATCTCGATATACTTCAACCAAAGAGATGAGTTGCGATAGTCGATTTGTAGTGCTCTCTCGAACACTGATCGCGCCCTCCTGAACTCTTCCTGAGACTCTTCCCACTGAGCATATCTGTGGGATCCATCTATGACTCGCCTCCCATGATGGGAGTTCCATCATCCTCTTCCCCTTACTTAATCCAAGTGCCCATATGGTGTCGTTGTTTACGTAAGGTGTCCTCGAACTCTTTCCGCTTGCTGACCCTAAAAGAGATCCACTAGTCGCTAGATGAACAGTAGTATTCTCGGATCTACTTATAGTCAGCAAGCTCTTCCTTGCTCGCGATCTTCCGAGAGGGCCCGGGACGCTCCTGGAACAAGAAAGGTGAAGAGTAACAACCGCTGCAATAATCACACTACATCGCCCATCCGTTCGACTGCCTCCCTTAGAATTTGCTCGGCTGTAATCTGTTGCGGATTGGCCGTCGCATTTTTCACAGCGAACTTATCCTGTTTCGGCGGCATCTTGACGGAGTCGGCTGTTCGAGAAGCAGGGTAACAACTACACCGCCACTACAAAGCACAACACCAAATCAAGCGGTTAGCCTCGATAGACAACATTAACTCCACGCAATGACTCTCAATGAAACAGATGCTAGAAGAACATCATCTTCAGGGCTCCGCAGGATTGATCTACATAGGGCTGAAGTTCCGTCTGAAGCGAAAATAGTTACTTATTGCGGATCAAGTTATTCCGCAAGACATACAGGAGCTTTGGAGTTCTGCAGCGCCAGGAGCATACGATTCAACAATTGCAGTCGTGTCTTTATCGCAGTCTGTAAGGCTAGCTCGTTCATCTGTGAAGGAAGAACTCACAGCAGGGAATGAGGAGGGATTCACAGATACCGACCTGCAGCTCCACAGCCACCAAAAAGGTATCAGCAAACTCGCACCCCAATGGAGTCAACTGAGACCAGTGTGTGCCAGTGGCTGAAAAGTGTGAACAATGGGATAACTCTCGGAATACTAGAAGAGGATGGGATTACACTGTAGCGGAGTAGATAGTTCATTGATATCCTTCATCAATCCCTCTAGTTTGGTGCAGAGTACAGGACCCTTCATATTGCGCCTGAGAAGATTAGATACAAAAGCGGTATACATTCGTGTCGGCCCTACTTCACAACCGTTGGAGTAATCGGTCGAACTGCATCAGCGTGATCAGGAAGTAGATGAGCACGGATCTTATTCAGCCTCTCTCGGAGTGCTGGCAACGTCTTCAGGGTTGCTGGGTAGGCAGTAGGTAGGTGGAAGCTGATTCAATGCATAGTAGAAGCTTACGATCATTCCTCGTCTTAGTGGGATCATATCCCTCGGCCGTATATCGCACCTTCTTATACTTAGGCTCGAAAGCTCCAAGACCTGATGTCTGGTCACGCCTGTGGAATGGATAAGGAATGCAAGCATTATCGAACACTGCTGCTCTTACGCGGCTTCTTCGTCTTCAAGACCATCCGCGCTCGACTCTGAATCTTCAGACTCTGATAAGGGCTCGCCTGTGTCGTCCCCCTGACCGGCATCACCATCCTCTTCTTCAAACGCCGCGTGCTCCTGATAGATACATATGGGACATGACCAAGAGAATGCATGCTCAGCCCTCCTGGTGTACCTCCATCACTGGCTTGGAGCCTATATCTGCCTCCCCGGTACTGAACACGGGATGCTTCCAAGTAACCTAAACAGTATGCCGGAATTATCGAGGCCTGCTGCTGTCATATCAATTGATGCCTTCTTAGTGGCATTCTCCACGTAGTAGTGCCGCTGCTGATCTTCATCCCAATACTCAGTCCATCCCTCGGGCAACTTCACTCGTACATTCTCCTGAGTAGAACTCACCGATTACAAGCACTCTAGGAACAAGTTATATCCTCCATCATCACTACTGGTTTCAGTTGTTTGATAGACCCATCGCAGTTGAGCTTGACATCGTAACGCTTATTATCACTATTCCATCCAACCACGATTCCGTATTGTCCATTTATCCAACTGAACAGCAAAGCTGCTCCAAACGCTCTCTGCGTACAGTCCTTACGTTGCACTAGCACTCTTCAGACCAGCAACATGAACGGCGCATCCATCAGGAAGTATCTACAATAGTCCCGTGACCACCCACAAAGAGGACTTATCCCACACTACCCCGGACTCTTTCTGTTTCTTCTTTCTCTCAGCCGCCTCCTCAGCCGTCTCAGGTGCATACATCAAATTATCCGGTTTGATAGCCATAATTGAAGCAGTCTTATCCAGTTTGATCTCGAACCTACCACTACGACTGTTCTTGCCCACCACGGTACCTGATCGTCCAGACTATTCCTCCCTCACGTCGTTAAGCTACTACCAGAAGTGCCGTTGAGCTCAGGCTTGCTCTTCAACCCTAGTACCTCCACACGAGTACCTGTTCGATATAGTGCATCCGGAGCTGCTTCGTAGTCGCATCCATACCGATAGAGAAATTAGCTTCTGTGTCTTTGAGTTCCTCCGTTTGTTGCTGTTTACGCTTGGCACTCTCCTGGGAACAGAACGGCACTCAGGCGAGCTGGCATTGACAGGAGGCATACATTCTCGGGAGTAATCAACTCCCAGTCTTTAACCTCGCGGTTGATACAATGCTTCGCCCAGAGATAGTACTGATGAGCTTCATGTTCCTCATCTCGAATGAATAGCATCTTAGGATCCTTCGATGATCTGGCAAGGAGTAGAATTCAGATGTGCAATGGATGAGTGACGCTCCACAAGCTCGGGCGGGGGGAGCCGCCGCTCAATGGAAGGAGCAAGGGACACCAAATCACTACTTTATTTTGTTCTCTAATCCCTCTGGGTTCTTGCTCTTACAGACGAATTCTGCTGTCTTCACGATCCGATTTCTCAACACTGAGACAACTCAGGATGATCACTCATGCAAGTGCTGGGGAGCCGCGTTCTAAAGTCTCGGCTGGAGGGATGAGAACATCTTGCCCTACCCTCGTCGTCGGGAGCCCTCACAGGTCTCATGTCATATCTTCCTTTTTTCCTTTCCTTTTTTCGTTTCTCAGACAGCAAATCTCTGCCCAATTGACCTGAGTCATGAACAACTATGTTCACTGAAGACCTTCCCATATTACCACCAAGCCTCACCTCCTAAATAGTCGTAAGATACGTGATAGTCGTAATCTTCACGTTTGTTGAAATCGTATGTTGGTATATAGCCCGCTAATCCGCTTTCACCCCCTCCGCCGGCACCATCCATGGGAGGCTGAGAATAAACAGCGCAATGCAAACTACATCGTATTCCCAGCGGATAAGATCCCTCAATCGCCCATTGCACTGTGAACCCAACATATAACACCGACAACACGGAGTGAATGTATGCCTGAGACGTACATGTATGAGGAAAACGACAGTGGCTAGCATACGAGTTAGCTAGCCGGTAAACTTACGTGTAGATTCCCAATCTACATGCACTGTGACAAGGTCGTTGCCGAGCGCCTCTCCTAGAGCTTGTTCCAGTTCTGAGTGGTTACGCGTAAGGAGGAGAATCACAGTAGTGCACCACGCCGAAACCATACTCCCTACTTCTCGGTACGGAATGCCGGCGAGGCTCACCCGATACGTTCTGCGGACGCCAATCTCCATTTCTATCGGGTGTAATCTTCCTTCCAACTGGAGTCGAATTTCCCCCTCGTAGTGAGTCCCATAGAGCCCGGCTCACCGGCAACTACGGCACACACAGCGCCTCTCAAACTCGTATTAACTCAGATTGCTCTGAACTTCAAGACAACCAAGCAAAATGTTCGATGAACAACATGGAAAGGAGTTTCGAGTTCCATGTCCAGGAAGCGAATCCCGACCCACATGATTTGCTCGCCATAGTTTCTCGGCAATTTAGATGATAGAGTTAACGAGTATGAGGAGCCTGGTAAATAGCCCCAAGCCTCACGCCTCCAGCACCAGTCTTAATCCTCACTAGAACGCGGAAGAATTATTGAAGCCTGGATCGACTGCCAGATTCGTTGTAAGCCCTTATTAAAATAGCTATTTTGGGGCTCAACCTGGCTTCTTTCACGACTCAATGACCTTGACTGCTTTGCCAACAGGATACACGAGCATCCATTCACCGATCCTAGTGGAACGCAATACATCATGCAGAAGACCTAAACCTCAACAGGAGAATGTGTACTCATAAGCAACTATTGTGCCGACAAGCATTACGCTTCCGACAGGTACAGGATAAGTACAACAATCACAAGGACAACACTGACGTTAGTTTTTCACCAATGACAACACTATCCGTTGCTATGATAGTACTGAGCATGGCCGAATAACGACTCGAAAGTCGAATTAGCTTCCCCTTAAGTTCTGATCCTTCGAACATTGCTGAGTATGTGAAACTCAGTACAACGGCTATAGCATGATAAGACCTAGCCCGATTATCCACCAGGATGCACTCATGTCCTGTTCATCCTAACAGACTTCCACAGGCTGCAGCTTCTCACTGCGACACCTTCCTATCCCTGTGAAGTGCTTGTTTACTCAGAGAAGGCTTAATGATTCGCGCGGAGGACAATGGCTGGTGTATCAAGTTCCCAACAGCTAGTTGGGTGGAAACTCAAGCTAGGTTTCGAATATCTGCCAGCTTCTACAGCAATCCCATCGGCAACAATCGTTGTCAATTCGTGATGTGCCAAAGAATCCACGATGAAGTGAGTATTCGCCACGCAATTGAGGATTGTACGCGCAGAGACAGCGGTGCCGACTCCACCCAATACTACCATCATACTTGAGACTCTCGGCATAATGTCGAGCATGATGTAGTCTAGAGGCATAAATGAAGAGAATTGAACGGCACAGGAATTCGATGACGGTAGGAAAACTGACTCTGAATTGTGTAGGGCTTCGACATCGTAAACAGTCTAATTCCAATCATGCTCCCACCGTTATTGAGAACCGATACTCCGTGCCATTTGAGGATTTAGACCATGCATACGCGCATAACATCTTTCATAAAGTTCTCAAAGAATCTACCTAGCAGAAAGAGCATGTTTCAGCAAGCTCGGTCATGATGAAGAATTGCCAGCAGAATGTGGGCATAATTCGAAGCTGCGAATCGATCACATGGGCGCGCGTCTTGCGCAAGATATGAAACCGTTGAACGCACCCTGTCGTGCAACCCTCCTATTTCAGCTGCAGATCTTTCAGCATCAGGCCTCACATCTATGCTTTCAGCTCTGACGGATCTTGTCAGCTAGTTGCGAATCAGACCTTGCGGTACGTCCCTTATTTCGCGTGTATCATGCTCGATGGTGATTCATTTCGATCACCACGGTGACGACAAAGGCGTGGTGACGCCAACTGGAGGTCCTTGCTTGACCTGGGTGGCTTGACCTAAGGAACCGACAGCAATGAGGCATACGGTTCTAGCTGCTCGAATAGCAACCGCACGGTGACCCTTGTCGAGCTTGCTCTCACCGAAATCGGCTCTTCTGCTCCTCAACACGAGCATTGCGATCTGGAGCTCAATCAGATCTGCTCAATACAGTTCCACAGTGTGGGGAGATGTCGGGCAGTAGACAGTAGGGAACACAACCCTGAGGAACTCGAATTGTTGTTGTGGAATGCCATAGTTCGGTCGGCAAGAGAGCCGAGAGATAAGTCGAGATAGTTTCTTACCATCTGATCTTTGATGCGAGGAATTTTCTCATTTCTGCAGTGGTTATTGAACCATTTAGTTCATTACGTAGATCCTACTGATGCCTGGGATTGCGCCAAGCAGTGCCACTCGGGTCGACATGTCCCTTCGAGCTAACGGTGTGTTCGCTTGTCCAGCAAAATTGATGGTTTTAGGACTTCTTGAATTGGCTTGCGCGGTGTTAAGTTATGAGTTAGCAGCTGTATTCGTTTCGGTTCAGCCCATGTCGAGCGACGGTGGCAAGCGAGATGTTCCTGCTCAGAACAAGGATAAGGGAGATGCCAGTTCTGCTGACAATCATGGCACTGATGGTCACGAGTGCAGCGTGTGTCATAACGAGGAACCCTTCGATAAGGTCAGTAATGATGGTATGAGGATCACTAGATTTGGTAATGCTCCTGATAATGAGAACGGTCCGAGCTGGCTCAATGAAGACGGCACTGTGGATCCCATAGAGTTCGCTTTGTCCGAGGTCGGATATCTCGATTTCGAAGACGATAACTTCCAAGATGATTTTGCCCAGTCTTGTGCCATGTATGGTTTCAAGCCGTGGGAGATGTGGTAACTTTTGATTATCGTCACTGATTGGTATTACAGTTAATCGATTTTAATGTTTATACCTATACTCTTGTGTTATTAGTTATATAGGGTAGGCCTGCCCAGTGAAGGTTTACCATAGCCGATTCTAGTGGAGGTGTAGTCACGAAAGCAGCAACTAATTGTGCGAGTGTGATAGCGGTCAGGAGAGCTTGTACCGCTGCTAGCCTGATGGCAATATTTGTGCATTCTAGTTCGTTTAGCGCTCTCAGCTCATGTGGTTTTTGCTTAAGTCTCAGTTTGGGGGTCTACCAGTATGGTACAACGCGGTTGGCTAGATAGCTTCAATCACTGGTTCCATCACGTGGCAGTCACCCTAGGAGAAACTGTGGCGGCAGTTGAGATGGATGAGAATGGGAAAGCGGTGCGGAATGTATGAGCAGAATTAGTAGTAGAGAGCAGTTGATGTGGCTCATGTTGATAGCCTCAGATTGGTTACTGCGACCTGTATAAAACTGCTTACGAGTGTGGTGTAATGATACGTCACAATTTGGAATTGTGCGGCTTGTCGAAGTATCCTTATGATAGGCAGAACTTTCCACGTGGTGTTGTGGCTCTCAACATACCAAGGGGAATCGACTGGTACACAGTGTAAGTGTGTGTAGCTGGATTAATCCAGGTGTCTAGTCTTGCTCTACGTAGATACCTAGCTTGTCTCTTAGCTGGCATCCCAACGGTCAGTCTGACTAGTGGTGGGACGGAGGCTTCAGCTACACAGGAGACCGCCAGGTCATTATTGGTTCAGAGACTGTTGATGCCTTGTTTACTGATTGGTGAAGAATGTGGTCTAGACTGCCCCAGGCTTGGAGTTGAAGATGTGCTTGCTTCCATCAGCTGCAAGACTACTGCTGAAGATTGCCTGCGGGAATACGCTTTTGGTGACCGCGACACTGTAGCGTACCACTTTACTGGAGGTCGGTACACACCACGCTACTACAGTCATGTGGCCGTGTTTGATTCCTCCCTGAATCTCCGACGAGCTACGTCGTTCAGGTACGACTGCATCGAGTAAATGTGTCCGTATCACTTTGGGTATGGTTATGCACGAACTTGAGAAATATGCTGAAGTTATTCCCAAGACATGGAAAGGAGTTGGACGAACTGCTGTGATTCAATCGAGTGATGAGACGTGACTCTGCGAATAATTTAACTTCAAATTATTAGGTAGTGTCTACTGGGCTGCTAGCTGTTATGGTCAAGTGGACATATGCTTGGCATTCCACGGAACTCTGGTGATGGAAAGCACGACGTGCCAATATCTCGAGCGTCCATTGTCAGATCCTCTCAGCACCTTCCATGGGTGATAGCAAACTATCTCCCATGGATAAGACCGAAGGTCCGTTCCGCCTCATAAAGCATGCTATGATATCCGGACGATATGATACCGTCATCGCCGGGCTCGTTCCTACTCTAATGGATGCGATGCCATCTCCCGAGGAGGAGTGGTGGACAAGAGGCACTACCATACGGAAGAAGAAGCTCGTAAGTTCCTCGTGGACTCAGCAGAGGTTTCGTTGGCGAGCAACACTTTATTTTGTAGTTGGTCTTCACTTGGGGTGAGGCCTGCCCTCAGTCACTCGTTGACAAATGGAGTAGTGCAACTCTGATCGAATTGTTGGTGGCTACCGAGTGAGTCGACGAACGTTTCTCTATGGTGCCATGTCTGGATGCTTTGCAGGTATTGGTTATCTCTATTCTGTATACGATCTGTAACAGTCCGTGGATGTCGTACTCCTTCCGTGCGGTACGCAACCGTTTCCGGGTGCGATGTCAGCGCCAAACCTCTGAGTTCTACCGCGGAAGCTGGTACTATGGTCATGAGGGGTAGAATGGTCACTCCTGGGTATGTCACTGAACCTCTTCACACTGCGCCCAGCATTGAGGAGATACCCCTGGCAGTGGATGGTATGGTGGAAAGCATTGCTACTTTCGAAACAGAGGACGTTATTCGGTTCGTGAAGGACTCAGAGAACGGCGACTCTTCACCCTATGTAGAGTGCTTGGGTCGAGAGGGGGATCTCATTAAGGTTGGTGGAGCATTCGCCGCAATTCCAGCTCTAGAGGGTACGATATCGCAAAAGTTCGGAAGCGGGACGAAGGTGTACCTGATGGTGGCACATGAAGTCCTTGGTGGAGAGATTCATGTCGTGGTGCAAGTAGGCTATGAGTGCCGTCTCAGTGTGCCAGAAGCGATAGCAGCTGTACGAGGTAGTTTGCCGTCTATACCAACGGAGTGTATGCACTTCCTTGTTCCTGACGCATGGATTCCCACGAACTCGGTGACCGGAAAGGTATTGAAATCAGAGTTGCTATCGATGGTCATTGCGAAGCTGCCTCCTGTCCCATTAGCGAACGATGCCATCCCGGAAGATGCTTCCTATCGAGAAGCCTATGAACTCGGTGGAGGGCTCTCTGTGAAGTCCGCGGCGAGGTCAAAGAAAGCTCTATATGTTGGCGTGCCACTTCATATTCTCATCATCTTTAGTATTTCCATCTTGGCAAGTATCTGTTGGAACAGCGTCCAACCAGTCCGACTCATCTTGTCGATCCTTGCAGCATTGATGGTCTATTATCCACTGTTGGATTATGGCGCTATCACAGTGCAGTCGGATACAGCCCCTGTATTCGGTTCCTCGATCGATACGAAGGATTGTTTGGAGCGTATGGCAATGCGCTGGGCTGAGGTGTGTTTATCACTCTTGCTCTGGCTCGATAACACTTTCCCATATGGTGCCTATTTTTTCAAAGCCTCATTGGCCGTAATAATGGGTCAAATGTGGTGGGGTTCTCAGATGTTCCTGTTGGTGATTTTACTGAAAATCTTCACGCGGACACATCTTCGCTTCTGGCCAACCATAAGCACAATCGAGGCGGGTGTGTATCTATGTCATGACTGGCGATGGCGTAACTGGCAGCCATATCTGCTGAACCCGCTCCGGCTCTTGTGTTGGTACATGTATGGTATGTTTTCATGGCTGGATAAATATCGCTTACCGGCTACATCTAGATTAGCGCGATTCATCATCCGAAGTAGAATCGCCCGTTATGCGGTCCCTCCAAGACGTGCAGGTCGAACGAGGACACGCGGTGGCTCCCCACGCAAGCGAGATCGCTGGTATCGGTGTGAAGTTGCGAGATGCTGCAAAACTAAAGGGAATTCGGAATGTTGGTTTCGGGAGAGCCACGGTGAATGGAGATGGATAGAATCAGACAAATGGTGGTCATCACGGAATAAGAAGTACGATGCCCTTCACAGTTCGTCTCGGTGGAGTAAGTTTTCTATGTGTTCAGTCGTTCGAGTGTTGCAGCTATTCACACAGACGAGTATTCGAAACGCATCACAGAGAACCATACCGTTTGGAAAGGCGGATATCAGTGAGTTGATGCTCACTCGCTTGGGGGCGATTCACATATCATCACCAAGGTTTATTTGCGAGTCTTGTATCTGGGATCGAATGAAGTGTGTCGATGTCAACTTGGCCGGTGGGCGTTCGCGACCTCCAGCTAGGCGGCCACCCAAGAGTGCGACCAGGCCTAACACGCCCGTAGACGATGGGGCAACTGCTTCTAACGTTCGAGGGCAGATAGTGCGTATGTTGTCGAGCTTGAACGGTGGATATTCGGATACTGTGGAGCTTGCTGATGGAGGAAGGCTCATCGAACTATCCTCCTTGAGCATCGTCATATTGTGTGGCAGAATATCTCAAAAATGGAATATCAAAGTGAGGCGTCTTGTTAGATATGCGTCTTCATGAGATTATGGTATACTATCTCAGCTGAGCCCGCGAGAAGTGATGTCGTTGCCAACTGTTGGCGATCTGGTCGACGAGGTTCAGAGGAGGGTTGAAGAAGTAGGGACGGTATCGAAAGCGTCTAAGGAGGCTGCACTTTCAAACTCTCGCCACGCTCCTGAGTATCGCATTAATATGTTTGCAACCCATCTATGGAAGAGAGCTCCGTGCGACTGGCTTTTCGAGTACACTGATCCTGAACATCCAATGACGCTTGCGGACATCAAGAAGGCACTGGGGTTACTGGTGGACAGGTGATATTGAGCATTGTTTTCCTGGTGGGGAAGCAGACTCAACTACAGAGTAATTGTGTGATACTTGGATTCATTCGTCCATCTCCAGGCACGCAGTATTTCGTTCCTACCCACTTGATCCACTAGAATTGCAAGACTACTGCAAAGAGGTATTGAGCCTCAGTTCTGCAGCAGGATTTGAGTCGGCGTGGATCCAGAAAGCAGTAGAAGCATGCTGGCCGCGAGTCGGACCTCGTAGGGGGAACGACACCTCTTGCGTACCCATCCATACCAAGTGGGTTATCTATCAACAGACAATACCATACCATCCCTATGTCACTGGAGTATCGCTAACAGGTCTTTTACGAGCGCCAAATCTGAGACGAGAGCTTCCAGATCTCTCCGAGAATTAGTTGTCCGCTTGAAGCACACTGAGGCGTTCAAGGCTCCGATAGAGTTCCATATTCTATTACCTCGAGGAGTCGATAAACACAGGGAAGGTATGGTTCATATCGCAGCTGTCTCTACCGTTCATGTTCTGTTCGACTATCAGCTTTCCGATGGTTTTATGTTTACGTTCGATTCACGCACCTGTTCGCGGATGGGTTTTGTGTGGCACCCATGGCTAGAGAGCTGGATCTGGTCTTCAAGCGAGCTACACGAGGGGAGGTATGAGGCATCTATAATGGTGATGATGTATTAATCGATTGACCAGGAGCCTCCACCTAGTGTATGCTGCTTCCCGACACTAGAGGCGCGTCTTTTCGGTGCCATCCAGGGAAGCGAGAGATTCATCCGTCTCAGACAGGCAATGGAGATCCGGCGACCAAGTGGTGATAACCGAACTCGTAATATAATCACCACGCTAACTGAACACACCATATCAAAGCATCAGGCACTTTATGGCTGAGCAAGGGGACGACTCGTGGCTTAGCCGCTATCGCCAAGGAGCTTAGAGTCCCAACGGAGGTTGTCATATTAGCAGTTGTTTTGATAAGCCTCGGACGTTCACTGGAGTGGGACTGCATACCGTTGAGCCTTATGCGGACCAACCGAGACGAGAATGCAGTAAAAGAGATCGAATACGGAAGGGGGATGAGACTCCTCCTTCATTCAGGAACAATCGCATATGTTTGGCTTCTTCGCCGAATACGCAGACCTCGGTTTGATACCTTGTGACTTCAACACCTCACTCTTCGGCGTGATTGCCCAGTTACAGGGTCGCATCCTAGAGAACGTCAATTACACAACTGGTTCTGGACTTTACTCCACGTCACTGGGAGATCGTCCGTGGACCCGGAAGTAAGCTCATTCACTCGTTCGGCAGTAGAACTTTTTTTAGATGTTTTCCTGTAACCGTGAATTTAATAACCAGTCTTCCACAGATGGCAGATCTCTGTGTGCGACATGTATCTTCATACGATCGAATCGAGCGGAATGGTGAAGCTGATGGCCGAGGCATGCGGCCTATTCATCTGTATATCGAAGAATCACGATACGTGTACGTTAATGAGCGAATCGTCCTCGGGTTTTATCGTTGAGTTTCAGGTCCACAAGCGATACAGACTGGGGCATTCGTATGATGCTTGACTGGGAGTGGTTTCCTTGTTCGTGGCTAGTCAACTATGCCGAGAAAAGCCTGCCTACCGTAATTCACCAGCTCTTCGACCGGAAAGCACATCGCCAATGGGCGAATGAATATTTCCCTGGTAGGGAGTGAACTCAATGAAAATGGTGCTTGTGAGTGATGTATGTTTCTCTGTTGTTTTCTGACGTTCCACTACTCTGTTGCTGTTGTGTTTCTGGGATCATGAAACACGCAGACTGTGTAACATCAATCGTTCTATGAACATCGGACGGCCGAAAGCAGTCGCAGACGCAATCACGGCTCTGCCGATTCCTAAAAACTGGATTGGAGTGGGAGCTCAAGTGAATCAAGTAAGCTCATGGATGAGGTAGTTGTGGCACAGTCCCTCAGATACAGTTTGTTAACCGCTATCTGCGACGACATTTCCGGGAAGGTCCCGAGAACCTCAGTGAGACCTCCCTGCGATGTATCGGCATAAGCCCCACAGCTCAAGCTATACGCGTGGGGAAGACACCTTTGAAACCGAGTACTTAATTCTGCTGTCAGGCCCCCGCCAGAGTAAATTGCAAGCTGGTTGATTCACATAGTGCAACCTTGTTGGGTGTGACACCGATGAGAGATCTCCAATACCATACACGGGATGAAGTCCAGAAGGTGAGTGTCTAACAATTTATTAGGTATACTCAACTAACTGCGTCTCCGTTGTAGGCTTTGGGTCACGGTTCGATCCCAGGAACGAATGATCCATCCCTGAGGATCTACCATTTGCTCCCAATAACTTTTCCAGCACATGAATCAGTAAGCCCTTCTAAAATCATAATGCGATGTGTGACATGCTGTTCTATTCAAGCTGTGGACCTCACCCGATCCTTTGGTCACTGATGTGATCAAAGTATCGCGATCCACGGAGCCTCATCGACTTGGAACTCTCATATACAATCGTTGCAGAGATGGCGAGGAAGATATCACCGTTGTCGCTAGAGGTGACATAGCGCTCGCTATGGCTGTCAGGTATTGGAGCTGCACGATTTGCGTACAAGTCGAAAGAAACTCTTCAATGTTGCTTCAGATCCATCGCCAAAGCGGCTGCGAAGCTGGTATCGTTTGAAGCAAAACGGCTTGTGGCGATACCTGTAACGCTCAAACCGAAATCTTTCCAAGAACTGCAGATTTCAATTCGATGGATAGAACTTCCACCAAGCTCAACCAAGTTGACGGAGGAGCTTCTCAGCGGGGGAAAGAGTATTTCTGACGTTGCAACTCGAAGTTCATGATATGCGCGGAGTGTGTTTCTGATTACCCCCATTTGCTTAGTTCTGATAAATTCACAAAATGTGTATACCAGCACCAAGCGTGGGCTTTTCAGACTGAATGAACTCCCCAATTCCCTAGTCCCCAGTTTCTCTGATTGGAAAAACAAAACTTGATCGCATCTTTGCACTGAAATCAATATCTTTCTATCTCCACCCAAGTATCGCTCCTATGCTTCGAGAAATACGGCCGGGATATATATGCCATTTCAATGAGAATATCAGGCTAGGAGAATATGCCCAAAATCAAGCCAGTGATAGAGAGAAACAACATTTTTCCACATGGCGGTGCCAAAATGAGTACCGTGACACGAAAAATACGAAGCACTTGCAGTGTTGTACAGTTCACGCTCGCAAAGTTCTCCTTCGCTTGGTCGATGCCGATGCTTCCCGTGACGCCTTACTGCACGCAATGCCTTGGCGGCGCAAGAGCTCTGCCCTGTGAAGAACACCAGTTACAGAGAGTTGACATCGAGTACGGCCCATACAGCTGTTGGAGCTCTTGACTCTGCTGTACAATGGCTTGCCGCAATCTCTCGACATGTGTCTTCACCCGATCATACTTCTTCTGGATCTGCTGGGATTGCACACGAGCCTGATGAGTTACATCGACACAAACCGATCAATCAGGCACGCCTACTTCCTCCGCTCTCTTGGTGTATTCTCTTGACGCTTCCGAGATCTTCGCTTGTGCAACTGGATATGTGACATCCCTATGAGTACCTTCGTAGTGGATGCTACCACTACGTTTTCTTGGTATCATTGTTTTGCTGGCCTCTACACGAATCTGTTCGGAGCGGAACTCGAAGGTTTCGAGTAGGGTGTGTGCCAGTGTCATAGGGGAGTGGCCCAACAAAGGGTTCCGCGTAACGACCTAAATGCTGACTCCAACGCACACTCGGTAGCTCGTACTGGCGCGTGAACATCAATTGGCAAGGACAATGAGTTCAAAGCTAGTGGCGACACCCCTGTTCGCGTATTACATACTGGGCATACGCGACCAGACCTTAACATGAAGTATGTGTGTAATTGAGGACCGCTGGAGCCATCTCACTTGAACCATCTAATGGCATGCGCCTTGCAAAATACATGAGGACATTTCGAACACTTGTACGCCACACTCCGGTCGGATACGGTGTTCGGTTGGTCCAGACAGTAGTCCTCAGAGTTATCAGCAAGTGTGCAACGGCATGTCGCATCATTGCCTGGTAGGGATATTGCAGGGGTACGACTAGTGGATCTTACAGCGAAGAACGAATTCTTCGTCTGTGGTCATGTCGGAATCGGCCCAGCACCAAGCGCTCAAATCTGTTATTCTTGTAATATTGACTAAGACAACACAATTCTGAGTGAAGGTGAAAGTATCACATAATAAGTAACCAATAAACGACGTAATAAATGATACGCAATTGTGATGCAATATTACAGCGCATTCAATAATCGTCTTCAGACATCAATATCTTCAACAATCATAACCGCATTATCGCTAAGACAGTGAGCGCTCGGTATCGTACGAGAAGATCTCACGAAATCCCTCTTGACCTCAGTCGTGATTCGCCTGGAATCCCCAGTCGACGATTTCCGAGGTTTTGGTCGAACAGGAGAGGAATCTACGATCTCTACACAGTCGCTATCACTGGAATCCTCTTCGCTCTCGTCAAGGTCCACTACTGGTACTTCACTGATGGAATCATCACTGCTATCACATGATTGTACCTCTACGGTGAACAAGACGTCTGGCTCAGAGAACTCGATTTCCACACCAGGATCAGCACAAGCTGCTCCAAAGGAATCCCAATTAAAGGAGAGATTGTGAGCCTTAAGCGCTTTGTAGAACACATCGAAATCATCCTCGTTGCCCGAGGCTGCCGCACAGAGCAAGGAGTAACCAAACTGGCGATGCTCGGAGATGGACTCATCAACCCTGGCGCCTAGTGCATGAACAGCAAGTGATATCGCCGACCGACACTTCATATCGCACACCAAGCAGTAGAGAGTATCCACACTGTTGCCTGTGGTCTCTGAAAGCCGGCCAATTAGCTGAGGATGAGTAGCATCAGTTGGATTGGTTGGGTTAACTACGATCTCGGTTAGATGCAGAATACAAGCATCCCTAGTAGGGAAGCAGGCACTGCATTCGCACACGATAGTGTCGGCAGAGAGATTCCTTAGCACCACATGATCCTCCCCCTCAAAATGTGTGATTTGGAAGTGTTTGGGATAAAGAGTGAGTATACTCCTGAGTCTATCGGGATTATTTTGAACCTTGTGTGCAGCCAGCCAGAGAGGCATCTGGTCTTGGCCGGTCGCCCGAATCAGCCGTACCAAACCTTGTAGTAGTTTCTCCCGCACTGCTATGTCGCCCATTAGTTCACGACCACTTCTCTTTTTCTGACGTCGTGATCGTCGATGATGCTTCTCTTTCACTCGCTGCTCGCGCTCATCATCCCGCAGTCCTGAAGGAACAACGTCTAACGACAGCCGACGCAGCTACCTCATGCTGGCAGAGACCTCACCTTCTTTATCTTTCCGGCGGTATACCGCTATGGGCGCGGCAACTCCCTCATTGGTCTTACCCAGTGAGCCCTCGCCAGAGTACCCGTTTTTACATAACAGACGGAAACCAACGCCATACCTAGGCGATCCGATGATGATCAAATAGCTGGACAGAACGATATCCGAGGCTCACGTTTTGTTCATCTGATCTGTGCTCATCGTGTCCATGTAATCCTCTTGCTTCTTGCTCGCGTCCCCAGCTGTCGAACTCGAGACCCCGGAAACTGAACGAGATGAAGATAGAGTGTCCGGATGGAGCACTCCCGCTCGACGGAACATGGCTCCATTCAATAAAGATAACTGCAGGATAGACTGACCACTGATATGGGTATTGAACACGAAAGCCCTAAAGCTTCAGTTGGGACAGTGAAGAGTCATGCATGATACACAGATTCAGTCGATATCATCTACCAGCCAAGAGCATACTAACTTCGAGAGACTTCACAGCAGGGTCAAAGATAGTGTTTGACGAGTTACGCCCCCGGACATCAACCACAACATCAGCGCCACCAACAAGAGTGAGGATAATATCGCGAACTAGCCGTAGCATCCCAATGCTTGCTGAGAATACAATCTCAGCAGCAACGCTACTATTCTGGCCTGCAGTGAGAGGAACATCACCGGCTGTCTTGAACATACCAATCTGGCTTCCACTGTACATGATGTCTCCGAAGATCTGACCAACGTCCCGCACGGTTACAACAGAGGGATTGTAGACCTTGAGGGTCGCTAGGAATCTTGCCTTGCCTCTGACGACATCGCCAAGGGAAGTAATCAGATCAAGATCGACCATAGACGGACGTGCTCCCTCGAAATTGTTGAGCCCTTCAAATGTCATGTTCTTATCCAAGTTCAGACCAGAAAACTTGATCCCAAAACTTTTCGCTACAATGTCAGCTTTTACCCTCATAGTGACCTGATCTCTGGAGATTATACCGGCTGAGAAACGATCGAATTCACTACGATTAGAGACCATTACGACAACAGTCTCATTGACAACAGTATGGGAGCTCGCCTTCACCTTTACCGCGGGCATGGACGAATACCCAAGGTCAGCTTCATCAGTCGAGAATGATGCAGTGAATGGCTCGACCGTCACACCAAAGATCAAAGGATTGTAGAGAGTAGAAACAAGTATGGTGTCCAAGCAGAAGGAGGCACTGGCAGCACAGTCCTTGATATTCTCCCCTACAATATCCATTCTATTCACAGAAAATTCCGAGTCGTTTAGCGCCGCTTCGGCAAGGATGGGAGCAAGAATGAGAATGAATAGAACCAATACCAGGAATACCATCGCAAACATAAGACAGCAAACACAGCATGCACATCGCTTGCTTAGCCGACAACACCAACATGCTTTCGGCGTCATCAACAAGGGCTCTCCGCTGTTCAGCTGATATACCGGTTGAGCTCGGATTGGATCTTCTCTGCCATAAACAACATAGGTCGAGTTCATAAAGACAGATGGCTGCAAGGTAATCCTACTACAATAGAACAGGGAACTGGGAGCTCCAACCAAATACATATGAGTTGTCAACATGCGCAATCATCGCATGGTAAGGCAAACTGAAACGAATCTAGATTTGATTCAAGAATATAGTCTGATCAAAGTAGCAGCTATCAACATGTGGAAGTCGGTTGACTTGAAGATGTTGATCCAGGCTGGGCCCGAGGTCTGTGCATAGCCCTTGAGGGTGATTAAAAGACCTTCATCACCGTAAGAGGTTACATTAATAAACTTCAACCTGCCGAGATACGTCGCGTAGTAAAGGGTGCCCGTTCCCGATTTGAAGGCTGCATCGAAGAACTACGGCCGATAGTCGCGGAGGGTGTTGGAGCCTTTGGCAGTACCCTCCTTGGCGAGCTCCATATAGTTCAGCGCCATCTACCAACTTTTGCTTTCGAGGTCAGACCCCTCGCTACAAGGCCAATGAAATGTTCAGTGATGATGACGGATTGGAGTACCACAGCTCCACAGAGACTAGAAAGACCATACAACCGCAATGGGGAAGATCTTTATAGACGTTCTTTTCGAACTTGATATATTTTTGCTGTCTTGCTGGGCTTGAGCTCATAACATTTGTTCCCAGTATGCAATTCATGCCCCATGCGGTGCCTTTCTTCCCGAGATCCCACCCGTTCTAAGTTTTGCTCCTAGACCTTCGAAACTTCCTCATGCTTGTGGTTGAAAGTTTCTCGCCATCCAACTCATCTGCATTGAGCCTCTTGCGCAGCTGTACTGTGATATATCATGGGCTTGGATCTTATAATGGAGATTGGCTCCGACTTGAAACATCGTCGGGCGATGATAAACTACAGAAACGAAGACGACGGTTAAATCAACATTAGGACGGAATGCATCGAGAAGCTGCCCGTATGTGAACGAAAGATCAGACCCCAGATGATGAAAATTCCACAGTCATATATCGTTGCAAGCACGAGTTCTGATAGCCGCTCAGCCCCTCACCCAAGTACTCAGACGCGCTAGTTCTGGCGGAGGATTAGCGAAGAAACGACCTACTGAGGCAGCAAATCCCATCATCCCATTACATCACCCCAGGACTACCATCAATGCCACGCAAGGCCTGCTTCACACTGCCAGGAACGTCTGTTACCGAAGGGGCATAATCAGCATGCCCAGGCAACTCGGTGGAATGGAGCCTTGCGAAGGCAACTTCATATCTATTTGAATGGCGTATGAAATCGAGCAGTGGATTCAACAGTCGTATCACTCTCGGTCTTCAGCCTCATCTTGATCGTCATCTTCGTCATCATTGAGCCTAGGATTGAGCAACGAATTCCCCGGCTGCTGCTCTTGTTCGTTAAAGCCCAGGAGCTCAGAGATGCCCATGAGAACCTGCATCGATCGGTAGCCGCATAGCAAACTGACTAACAACGGCTCACGGCGTGCATCATCTCTCCATTACTCTGGACGGTTGAGTCACTCACGAACTTGACCGCAGAAAGTGAGCAAACCTATTCACAAACTCGTATGAAAAAAGCAAGCTGAATAACTACATACCTTCTTGTTCTCCTTGCTACCCATATTCCCCTTAAAAGCAGGCATCCACAGTGACTTAACAACCATAACAGACAATCCAGCCTGTATCTGCTCCAGCGTTGTAAGCAACATCTTAGTGCCATCCGGGACACAGTATCTGCGAGAAACATAATCCTTAGCACTTCGAGAAGTGGTGCTATAGTGATAGGATGATCGTGCACTTACACAAACACACTGAGGGTAATCGCAAATCTCCGGGTCAAAGCAGCCGTGCTTTTCTTTTGCAGTTTCGTCAGGAATACCGTGAATACACTAGCTAAGGAGCTGAGGGAACGCCACGTTTTGACGCTAAGTGAAGCGCATTTGCGACCGCCTTACTCCTTATAAACACCAAACGGCAGATATCGGAACATTGCTGCAATAAGGTCAAACGCCTGCATCTCGATCTTCCGATGATTGAGAACCTACTTTACAGCATCACTTCACCCACTATCGTTTCAGCTACATATTGGAATCGGAGGAGAATAGTCTGCAAGTTACGGGTGATCTGTTCCCCGAACTGCGCATTCTCTTTGAAATACCTGAATTTGAGGATCCTGACAGTACAGCTGTTGTACTGATATTACGAGGTTAAAAGCCTTATCAAGCCAGGTACGTTAGCGACGGTCCTCCACAGGCTATCAGTGAGCAACCTGCAAACATCAGCCTGAGCCTACATAAACCGAGAAGCCCGGCGTACACTACCGATCAAACAAGGCGCCATATATCTGCGGTCCTGCTGCGGAGGTAGAGCTGTCTCCAGAATCAAGAAGCAAACCGAGTATTTGGAAACAGTATCTAAGCATCACCCACTCCCTCAGTATCCCCATCCACCCAGCTCAGAGATGCGCAGGATTGCTATACCCAGTGTGTGGACCTCAGATGAAGCGTGGAGGATATGCAATAATATTACGGAATGAAGTCCGCAACATTCTGTTCCAGGATGAAGCTGATGACGGGTAGCAACGCCGATTCGACCTCACCATGTTGAGCAGGGGCAAACTGCAGCACAGTATGCACCTGATGACAATCAGTCACTCACCACGGTCTTATGTGCGTGTTTTTACAATAGAAGCAATCGCCTCGAAGAGATAGTGGTTGAAAACCGCATCGCTGGGGTTTGCGGCAACCACACGGAGTATCTGATGGACTGATCGAGAGAGCCCAATAAAGCAGGATGTAGAGAAGAAATACGGTCGGCCAGGCAACAGCACCAGTTCCCAAGTCCTAACTAGTACCGTTGCTAACTGCCTTAACGTTGGCAATGCAATACTGAGTGCTCCTTCTCTGAAGGTCGAGAATACACCTGTTGAGTGACGAGGAACATAAGGCCAAGCTGAGGGATTGGCAAGCTGCACCACTCACGCATGACAAGTTTCATCTCGTACGCAGATTGGCTGCCGCCTGCAGCTAGTATTTGAAGACAGGGTTCGACAGTTGGCAGTATCTAAATAAAGACGCGCTCCGTCAATCGAACGGGGATTCATCCCACCGTTCTACATGCTGTTTGAGTGATTCCAGAGGTATTTTGTGTTGTTTACTAGGTCCTTTGAGAAGCAGGAGAACAGTCAAGCAGTGCGCAGCGTATGTATGGAGTACCTTGCAGAGGGAACATGATCAACACGACCAAGCTCGCGATAGCTAGAATCCGAGAAATGGTCACTCGGTTTGTCTACGACGTGCTATGTGATGAACATTACAGTAACAGGTGTTCGAATATGGTTCGCTATGAGCGGGAGTGCACGACTAAGTTGCTCGGCAGGAAGGTGATGTCGAAATACTGCGATATACCTAAACGAGGCGGCACAAACTCGAAACTATGGATAAGATGGGCCACTCAGTCTTCAGTACTTGAGAATGCTGGCTCTCAATACCGCACGACTAGCCTCCCTTTCCGAAGGTATTGCTTGAGAGAGCTCGGGCAACAACTGCTGCTCGAAGAAGGCGGATACATCGACAGCTGAGTTGACTATCGATACTCCTTTGCTTCTCGTCTAATAGTACACGCGATGAGGGCCATGACCATGAGAGCATGGGCCCCCATACCTGAGCCTTCGTCGCAGTTGCAATAATCAAGTACACACAGGCATCCCTCGCTCTCCAAGCATCCTCTGTCGTAGAAGATCCAACCGATTGTAGGAGCATTTGAACATAACGGACGAGGATATCCGTCACCTGAATCCATGGATCACAGACTCAAGCGAAACCCGATCCAGGGTCAAGCCAATACGGCCACGAGCAACGGTTGGTAGGTGAATGCTTGAAATACCAAATAAACTAACATGAAGCTTACATACCCGGCCGCCAACGTGGAATAGAGATTGCTAAACCTGACCCGTATCACCTGCTGCTCATACAACTTGCTGAGCCCTTTCACCAGTTCCATTGCTGCCCGTCGTCGAGTATCCTGATCTGCACTCTCCATATCCCGCCTAATATACTCCTACAGAAGTCCGAATTGGAATATTTACTGAATGTGATACGTTCCTTACAGTGGGGTTGTCGAAGAAGTCCTCAACATCACAGTCTCGGAGCTTGATGTTGGGGAGAACTACGTGCTCACAGATAGCCTGAGCAAAAGTTCATACCACAAGTCACAGGGAGCGATGGGCACCTCCTTACTTGGAGAGAATTCGCCTCTTCAAAGGGGCTTTTGGTCCATTTAGTACTAGCCGCACTGGATAAAAGTTTAATTCCTGCTGATACCTGATAGAAAGGAAATCGACATGTGGATTCGCCCGCATTGCGACTGCCGCTTACAAGCTGATCATTGCTCCCGTTAGGACTCGTTGAAACAAGCAAGGTCCATACGGATTTCACTACGCCACAGATGTACCTCCAGGGGAAGAACAATACGATATGGTTACATGAAGTGAAAACAGTGCCGAACAAGAACGATTGATTCGTCCAAGGCGCCTCCTACGTTCCCTCTATTACGGTTCCACTTGCTCCTGGTACTTATCAGCATATAGAGCAACATTCCTGCACACTTGAGCCTTGAGTTTCTCGATTAAACCGGGAGTGTCATCATCCGGTGCTTTGAGGGCTGAAGAGAGTCAGCTCATGGCGAAGCACGTCCCACCATTGAGCACTGTGATGGCCACGTGTAAGGGATAAGAAAGTCACTCCGACTTGAGACGCCACAAGAGACTATTTCGTCGTAGACGCGAGAGAACGTTCGTCATCTACGAATTGCTCCCTACTACCAGCCGGCACATCCTGCCATTCTAACAAGCGCAGAAATCCCTCGAACCAAGTGGCCGAGTTGTCTTCGTAATACTCCTGAGAATGCGAAGAATGGCGGAGCGAGGGCGATGGAACTCCCACTTACCGGGATGTCGACAACATTGAGGTCATAGAAGATCTCAAGCTCGACAACGAGGAGTTTGGCCAGCTTCACGCTTTTCGTGGCTTGGCCTGTCAACGCGAAGTGCGAGAGAGTCTATTAGGAACTACCAATGCACTACTTGCTTCCCTCAATGCAGGAGAGAAAATCTCTTGCATTATTCTCCTATAGAGCGCCAAGTGGACCTGAATGGCAGACAGTCGAGTTATTCGATCGAGATGATCAAGTTGAACAATACTCCAAACCCCGGTCTGGGAAAAACTACCTCCTGAAACTCCTTCAAAATATACTGCAATTCCCTCAAAACCTCGTTGGATCTCACCAGATACCGGTACCTGTCACGGAGGACTCATGGGATTTCAAACCTGCATTATCCGGGATGAGATGCCCATCTCCACAATCGACAGCTATGCACCAGCTACATATGCACGCCGAGTCGGTAGATGCTTACTTGTCAAACACAGTGGCTGCGGTCTCTAACGCTCCGAATTGGGCATCGTTGAGGTCCTCACCACATGTCAGCCGCTGTACGAGGGTTGGCAAGAGCGTAGGCCAGCCAGCAGGAAAATCTTACAAGAGTATATGTATATCTTTTGAATGCTACGATATATATGAAGATACGCGGGGACTCTTACCAAAGTCGCTGATAATTTTAATGCTCTCCCGAAGCTGAGCCATGAGGGGTGCTGGTACAGAGAGCATCAGATCAACGAGGTGTGATTTAATCAGGTTGCGGTTTTCCTCCGAGATCCCACCATTCTGGAGGAATGAAATGCTATTAATGATCCGGATTAGATAGAGTGAAGGCGATAGTACCTCATCAGGAGATTCCGGCCAATGCCTTTTGATGAAGTTTTTGAAGTATACACTACTTGCCAGTCGTACAGGCAATTGTTCATTACCATTGGCTGTTAATTGCAGCAACGAGGATGTGAGCACACCGCCCGCAGATTCAGCCTGCAAAGCAGGAGAACACTGTCACCAACGATGATCGTTAGGAGTCACACTACATAGCCCCCTCGCGGACTCGTCCGTAACCCTAGAATACTACCTGCGTAAGTTTCTCCTCGGCCTGTCGCCGAACATTAACGTCAGGTGACAAAGTGGCAGCCATCACCTGCGACAATTCCGTCTGATTTACAGCCATGTGAAGGAAATTATTAGACGCGTGCCGGCCAAAACCGCTATGTGGCAATCTGATACAAAACTTGTTGTCTATCGAAATGTAGTAGGATCACTCCGCTTTACGCAACAAATAATGGGCGTCGGAGGAAAGCATTGGACACCAGAAAGACGTGCAAAGATCTTACAGAAAATATCAAAACAAGACAAGGAAGGATGTATCATCAGCCTTTAGATCCACGCTGAGAAGTTACGAGAATCTTCAAGAATCCAAGTCGTGAATTTGCCATGTTACAACAGAAGCGAAGTTAACAATCATGTCGGTACGACAATACGCCCTCTCCGCGGTCCTTCTGTTCGCACCAGCGGTATTGCGCGGTCATCGCTCTACGCTGACGTTGATCCTGGGGCTGCTACTTTCTTATTCTGTCTTCTACTTCGACGGATCCGAGTACAGACCACGGAGCCGGTAAGCAGCAAGTTTTCATGGTCCGTACGTTAGAGGGCTGAAGCCTGTCTTCTGCAGGTATTGGCCGGAACTTTTTGTTCCTGGCTGTCGAGTATATAATGCGCTACTAAGACGGCTCTTTACTAAGGTGTCGTTCATATTAGAGGATGCGGACGCCGTGAACTCTCTCCCTCAAGTCGTCTATTGTGCTCATCCCCACGGTGTTGTACCTTTCATCCATCCGTTCCTAATCAGTCGAGTGAAGCACAAAGTGTGCCCTCTCGGCGCGAGAGTACTTTTTAAGCTGCCATTTATGCGGGAGATCTCCCTATGGTGTGGCGCAATAGATGCTAATAGGGAGACGGCTTTGGAAGCACTGAGAAAAGGCTTCAGCATCAGTATTGTTATCGGTGGTACGCGTGAGCAGATGATACCCTATTCACCAACACACGATACGATTGTGTGCAAGACCAGGATGGGATATGCTAAACTGGCATATGCAGCCGGCCGGGTTCCGATCGTACCATGTTATTGTTTCGGCCAATCAATTGCGCATGGTCAGATAGGACGCTCATACGCTCGGCCTTACCCCCCGCCTTCAGATACTGGGGTATTCATGCTCGCTTTCCGACAGCGCATACAACGAGCTCTGGGCATAGCACTACCTTTTCCGAAATCCGTGTTACCTAAGCATTTGGAAGACTTCGCCATTGTTGTGGGAAAACCTCTGACGTGGCAAGAGGGGGATACCCCCGCAACGATGCACAAGAAGTGAGATTATTTCACGATCCCCGTCTTGATATCCTGCTGTAGCCATGGTACGGCGCATCGCTGTACCACCTGTCGTATCGAGCTGAACTCTTCCTTTTCATCGCACAGGTATGTTAATGCCGTAGAGGAATTATTCTATCGCTACAGGAACCGATTTCCAGAATACAGTCACCGAGAACTGAGCAAGATATGATGCTGATCTCGGTTTTGATTTGTGACAACAGATATGATGAGAAACTAGTTTATCACCATTTTCTGATGTTATTTGCGTTGTCGCTGCTGCGAAGTTCCCAACTGAGGCGCTTTTGCTCCCGTGCTGTTCAGCTCAATATTTCGCTCTCTGTGAACTATCAACATACTCGTGCTTGGTCAGCCAATTCCGGGTATATGATCTACTATTGGTTCGTAGCCTCGATCGGGTTGGGGAGTTGGGAATCAAAATCGCAGGCATGTATCAAGTGTTCGAAGGTTGCTCAACTGGAATGAAGAGTTTAGGTCTAATGAGTACAATCTATCCGATGTGAGGATCCTGCCGAGTACATTTGCCAAACAATTTTCGGCTGATTCCATAGAGGAACTTCGTTCTCGGAGGTTGGCAGGTGGTTATCAAAAGATATCACTGAAGATACTAAAGAATTATTGTTGCTGTTATATCTCATCTCATTCGAATAGGTTTTTACATAACTCTCGGTTGACCCCTCAGTTTGCTCGAGTTTATGACTGAAGGCAAATTTGCGTGTACATCGGTCCCCAGTAGTCAGGCTCTGATTATTAGAGAGCTCTGGTATGGAACGATTAGCAATGAAGGCAAACTCATGGTACCAGCGTAAACAATGGTTAACGACGAAGCATGCACCAGCCTTCGTGTATTGGCCTCTATACTCATGAAATGGAGAATAGTGTCCTCGCAATTGCATGGGTGAAGTAAATGTCACCTATTTCGGTTTCAAAATCAGCAGGAGGCCACTGTTGAACAGCTTCGCGATAATACTCATTATGTTGAAGTAACCACAGATAACACTCCGTCAAAGCGTCACGCTTATTATTATCATGCACTTCATCAATGCGAGTGAGTACTGAACGGCGATGGCCTCTTAGGATTGAGAAAACACGCCAAAATAGCATCATTATACGAATATACCTTATGTGCTACCGCCGTGTTAGTACACCACATTCACGATCCAGGTACAGGTTGAGCACGAGGTCTAACTGGTCCCAAAGTACTCACATCTCGACGACGTGCTTGAGCGGGAAATAAGCAATGACAATTACCACAGACTCTCCGGCTGGCACTAGTAAAGTATTCCAATAACCTATCAGTTACCACACCACGACCAAAGTCAACACGATTACGATGGACACCATTTGCACGACGACGTTGGTCATACACAGTAGTCCACTGTTCAATTTCATGTTGCTCAATTTCAACCTGACTTGTAAGATACAACACAGCTCCCGGAACTGGAGATTTATGATCGTCTGCGATAGCATGAACAATCCTATTCTAATACGGAATACAGTAACAACTGCCAGAAATAAGGACTCCGTAGATACAATCAAATTGATGCATTGATTGCAGTAATATGCAACTTTCGGGCTTTGCCAATCAGAAACATTTCAAGCGTTCTAAGAACGCACAAAAGCACGTTTGAGTCCGACTACAACTAAGAACGCCGTTCTTCAACACAATCGGCAACGACGGCACAGTAACAGTCTTCACCTCCTCCACCTCTTCCTCACTAGCAGAACTTGATGACGAGCTCGCACTACTTGATTTAACATCGCTTGCACTTTCAACATCATCAACAGGACTTGGAGGTTTCGAAGGCGATGAACCACCACGGTGGTGGTGGTGGTTCACTCGTTCGGAACGAGTGAAGAAACTAATCCTTAGGATTACTTACTTCCTTTACGGTCACTTGTAGAAGAAGATCTCGAAGCAACCTGTTGATGTGACTGATGTACTACTCATATACTCTTCCGCACTCCCAGAAGACTTGAAAAGACTGATCGGCGAACTGTGGATAGTCTGATAGCGATGAAACGATGGAGTATTTCAGAACTAAACTCAGTTGAGCCCAAGACAACTGACTAATTAGCAGATCGCATGATGTTCAATCATCGTCCTCATCGTCATCATCGCCTTTTTTCCGATTTGCAGGGTCCAAAGCAGCTAATCGCCCCTCCACGGCCGCGGCATGCTCTAGAATGGCTCGAATGACATGACCTATAAGTCTCTGGTAAAGCGGCTTCAATGATCTTTTACGGCGTCCCCGGCCTTAGATATACAATAAAATTTCGCGATAGGAACTCATAACAATGGTAAAACATCCCCTTAGTATCGATTTTATGTAGCTCGCTAACAATGACAATGGACGACGTCAGGAGCCAGTTTGTTTGAGAGCTCCCGACAACGACCAATTAGTACTGATCATTACAGTGCAATCATTTCACCTCAGAGGAATATCCGATGCTTCAACCGCATATCTCACTTTCTTCAGTGGAACCCCTACGCGATGCAAGCGTCTCTGCAACATTGGTCAGCTGCTTCACTGTTGCTTGAACGAAGGAACTGCAACCATTTGAGAAAACACTCGCCTTCTATTCCCCCGCGTCAACTCACCGAATATCTGTTATACGCTGCCGATTCCTCCGATAGTACTTCTCGCGCAAGTCCCGGAAGTACCTTTACCACAGAACTTACCGTGAGCCAGGGCGTTATCTCGGCTCACGAACGTAACCATCCAGAGATCTGGGCCTGCATTTGGTCATCCCTGTCCTGTATGACCGTTATATGGTGTTCATTCAAGTTAGCACCTGCGAACCAACTTCATGACTCCGATGATTGGCCAAGAGGAACCAATTTACAGGCGGCCATCATATCCTCTTTATTCGAAAGTGCTTCAATTTTCGCACTCTCTGTAACCAACGGCATGCCGGGAACCTCGAGTGATATTCTCCGGCTCTAATCAGTACAGAGTGGTCCATGAAACCATAACCTGGTCATGACTCACTGCAACACTCCCACGCGGAGACATCCCTTCCGGATGCGAATTATCCTCCGCTGAAGATTCAGAAAATTGACGATGTTTTCAGGAAGCGTCAACTACCAGGTGACCCTTCAGAAGCCAGAATTGGGTGCGTCCCCGCTGCGAATGATTCGAGCTCCGAGGATGCGGCTTGGAGTAGATCTTGAAGGAAAACCTGCAGGACATATCTCCGTGTTGCCGAATCATTCCCAGTTTACCTTCTCGAGGTCCTCCAGGGCTCTGTAGAAGTCAGCTCCCTTCTCATTCATTGACCGAATGACGTCCTGGACAGCAATTTGGAAGTAGTCGACCGCTTCTTGCAAGGACTCCTAAGACGGGTTCACGGCATAGTCATTATAAAACAGGCATATATCTCTTGAACCTGAAGGCTAATCTCCATCATCATCAGCTTTTTGCAGAGTTTCTCGAGCTCGCTTGTCCCTTAGAAAAAAGAACATAACAGCGGTTGAATGACAGCGAGGATACCAAGCTCAAGAAGACGCCCCTCGCATCGCTCCAGTTGGTCAATGTCCTCGACTCTGTCACATTCTTCGAACACTTTTTTGAGACCTGCTAGCAGTCCTCCGGAGGATCAGATAGATGTTACTCAACCTTTTGAGTAAGTCTCGATCAGACTATTTGCCTCTCCTTCTGCCTCGGCAATCCCTCTAGTGGCGGCTCGATTAAAATGATACATCATCTTGGTCCGAGAGTTGTTTTTTTCCAATACTTCCTACAGAGACGATAACGAGCTTTTGAAGTCGGCACACACATCACCCTCCTCAGTGACCTAATCAGCTCAGCGACTTTGTCCTTGAAGTCCTCTTTCAATACAGAATACCCTTGAAGGATCCGAATCTAGCCGTATGGAGGAAATCTTCGCACTTCTTAGTAGAAGCAACTTACGTTGAAACCTTCGGTTTCTTCCTCGCCTGTGAAAAGCTCGTCCAAAAGTTCCGCTGTCGAGTCTAGAAAGCTCCCCTTCAAGACTTCCATTTGCTCCTTCTGCAGAAGGATGCTACCATGTCTTCTTTGCTCAACAAGTTACTTTGCGCTCTTCTTCTTCGTACTTGCGATCCAAAACTACCTCTCTCTCTTTCAGTTCCGCAAGATCATCAACCTGTGATGACTTCCAGATCACGCAACTGCATCATTAGCATACATGATAGGTCTCGGCTGCTGTCTGTGCCTCAGTGTGGTCAATTAGCATATAGTCTAGGTACTTGAGGCGACCAGGTTGTCCAAGATACCTGAGACTCATGTTGTGATTCTCTGACATGTTGTACTAGTTAGTACGCATAGATATGCTGTCGATAGCTAATGGAGTCGCAAATAGGGTTCCCAGCTAAACACAAGCAGCGCAGCTTCTTGAATCTTCGCAAATACTCGACATGGCGCAGATCTCGAATACGGTTACGTCCAAGGGAGAGGACCTGCATTAAAGCTCGTTTTAATGCAAGCCATCTCGAGATTTACAGTAAGCTCCGGGCAGCCGTCTAAACCGCTGATCTCCGTGATGAGGTTGTTGAAGAGTGACAAGTCTTGCAATTTGGGCAACTAATGAACAGAATGTCCAAAAGTTCCCCTAACTTTCCTACCTTTTCAAGACCTTCGATCTTGGTGATTTGATTGAAGGATAGATCAAGCCACATGAGATTCGGAAGACACTCGAGGTTCGAGATTTTATCGATGTAGTTGTTATCGAGATAGAGTACCTCCACAGTCCCAAGTGGCGCTCCCCAAACCATAGGCTATCGTAAACCTACCTCTAAGTTATGCAGTGTCGCGAGGTTGGAGATCCGGGATATACCAGAGAAGCTGAGTCGCATTTTCCGCACGCGAGGGAAGGCCTCGGGCGTCACTATCGGTGGGGATGTATGCTCCGCGGGTGCAGATTCGCCGGTTACGCCGCTTCCGTCACCTGTCATGAAGACTTCACGCAGGGGAGGCCGACCAGTTCACACCTCCGACGAAAAGGGGATTTTCTTCAACAGCAGACGCCTCCTGAATTAAGGAATACTAATGAACATATGGGAGAGCAGAGAGCAGCATCACCTCTCTCTTATGCATCGCACTTATGATATCAACGTCTTCTATCCCCGCGAGCAAAAGATCCTCATCAATAACACGAGGTTCAACGGGATGCGCCTTTTGCTTCCGTTCCGCTATCTAAGTTGCGTCAATATTGAGCGCAGTAGC